CTACAAAAGCAGCGACCACAATGGCAAAGATACAAAAATCCATACGCAGCTACACATACAAAACTACAACCTACACAAACCAAAACTTGCTCGCACACTCACACAAAGGCTGTGATGCCAACAGCGACTGCGGCAGCGACTGATGTTTACACAACGTGCGGTATATTTGCAAGATACTCTTCGTACAATAACAAAAACAGACGCAAATTCTGCTTGTGTTTTTTCTTTTTCTTTTTTTTCGACTCTAATTGAAAACAAGCAGAATGAGTGTGTATGTGTGTAGAAAAAAACAAGAAAAACAAGCAAAACGGGCGTCTACAGCTGCCTCTGGGGTACTTTTGTATTTGTTAGATGCGAAATTGCAAACCCCATTAAGGGCAACGTTGGCGAACTTCAACGTACTGCGTTTGCCTTTTTGTTGTGTGTTTCTGCAGCTTTGTAGCCGCGTAAGCCATAGTTTGTGTGCATGCTGTGTATCTGTATCTCTTTGCAGCGCGGCGTTCTCTCGCCGAACGACGAAAATTGCTGCAACAATGTCGCTTAATTTTTATTCGTCCAGCAATATTATTATGTATGCACCTGATCGAGAGTTTATGATAGGCTCCAGAAAAACCGGTTAGCAACGTCACAAAGCCCCATCATCATCATCACCATCATCAAGCATACACCGAACCCGAAGTCCAGATCCCAACTGGTTGTCAGTAAACAGAAACGCAAACAGGTAAAAGAACACAGAGGCAAACTGAACCAAGCAATCATCATCATCCTTCTCCGTTTTCCTTATATACCCCATATCGCCTGGTTGTATTCACATATACGTTCAGAAGTTTAGCTATTCCGCGATCAACTTTTAAAAATTATTTATAATTTTTTTTTTTATTATGTTGTGATAATTAAACCGTTTCAGTTATTATATCATAAATCTGCCATGGCAACAATTAGCACAAGTAAGGAAGCTAGTTCTGGCAAGCCGAATCTATGACAAAAGTGTAATAGTCTATATATTCTATACTTTGATTTTTCAGAGTTTATATGCTTAAACACAATTAAGTTCCTATTGAGATTTTTCTAATTTTTCTAACTTTAAATAACAAAAATCGTAATACTTCCAACTTTGAGGTCAATTTTTCTAAAACACCGAAATATATCAGAAAAGTATACTCTTATCAATGTTTTTTGGAGTAACACAGTATAATGAAATGCATTTATAAAGACTGATCTTATCCGGAAATTTCAGCTTATAAACTTGAATCATTCTGTTAATGACAATATTTCCCCTTTCTTGAAGTGGTGTTATATTCCTTTGACCGCTTCTGTACCATGACCATATTTTCTGAGCCAGTTCGTCAGCTCTTTGGGCATGATAATCGATTCTTGCTGCGCCTTCTTTGTGCTGGCTCTGTGTCTCCTTCGTTCGGTCTCACAAACACAGGGCCAAGTAAACTCACACAATCGCCCCTTGATGATAATCTTTTTTGTCTGTCCGGTTCTTTAGCACCTTTTGTCAACGTGTGTGAAGTGCGGCAACGTTGTGCGCAGAAGAGACGGACCTTAAAATCCGGAGATTCATCTCCGTCTCCTACTCCCGAGCTCAGCTCATGTGTGAAATTATTTGGGAATTTTCTAATTTCCCATACAAAGCTCAGTTACCGCATCGCCGACAGACGTTGTCGCGCCCTCTCGCCCCTTTTTTCCCGTCGACTTCGTCACGTTCCCTTGTGATATCTCAATCTTTATATTGCATGGTACTCACTCAGTTTTTTTTTGCGCCATTTTTGTTATTGTTTTTCGGCATTACGACACTGCACAAAACAATGAAATGTGCATTGCCAGGCATAAAGAGTTAAAAACAATAGCAACGGAACAGCGGAATATGTTTGGCTATATGAAAATAATTGCACAACTGGCATGACACCCATAACACGCCGCCCCGTGCCAGCCTTATTTCATTAGCTTGACGTTCCTGAACGTACTGGAAAAAAATGTAAACGGAGAAGGGCCCACAAAAATACTTTCCATATTTAAAAGTCCCAAAAATTGTAAGAATATTATTGTAATATATATTTTCATATTTTTAAGGGTTTCTTTCAGTTCCATGAAATGAAAAAAAAAACAAAAATATAAGAACTGCCAAAATAAAGTCCAAGTTTATTATAATAAGTTGTACACCATAAAACAACCAACGCATATCGGACGAAGCTTATCACATAACCGAAATCAAGCAAAGCAAAAATACACAGCTGGCAGAAAAAATAATAACAATAATGCCTCCGAAGTGTGAGTTGGGTTATGGTTATAGAGTTCTGTTTCTGTTCCTGCCATCGACAAGCAGCCGTTTAACGGATTGAATGAGTAACCAGAGATCCCCACAACAGACCCCCCTGGAGATAGAACAAAAAATAAAAAAACACGCCATGACTAAACATTTGAAAAATTATCAAGTACGAAAGTACAATTGTATGGTAATTATTGGGAATACCAAAAAATTAAGTTGCTTTTTGTGCAGTTTCAAATTTTCTCGCAAATGTTTTTTAGATGTATAAAAAGTTAAACGACTAAATACTTTTATTTTCTCCGAATATAAAAAACAACATATAAAGTAATTAATTGTTTTCAACTAACTTTGGAAAACTTTCAAAGATTAACTAGGAGTACCAACAACCTTTTTTTAATCATCTTTCAGAATTAAAATTGGTTAGACTTTTTTTTAGTATATTTTTTAAATTTGTTTGAAAGGAAACTCTGCGCAAAAACAATTCAATCTAATCTACTTATTTCGCTTTGAGAAAGGGCGAACCTCAAGGCCAAAAAAAAACAAAAAAACAACGGGCATCCAAAACTATAAATTCTCGTGCGGCTGTGTAACAAAAACAATCATAAAACAACAATAACAAGAGCAACAAAAACAAATGTAACATGACATTGAAACGAGTAAAAAGCTCTAAAAAAAACATACACAGACACACATTTTTGTGTATATAAAATCTGATCTAGTTATTGTTGTTTTTGCTGCCTTGCCATCTCATGTTAAACAGCGAAACACGAAATCTAATTTAATAAAGTGATCCAAGTTGACGTAGCCTGGGTTATTTGAGGTGTTCTATGGTTCAGGACATGGGGGGGCAACCAACATTTGCAACATAATCATAAATAATTATTTTCAATGCTAATCAACAAAACATCGATTTTAAAAGACTTAAAAAAAGGTAAAACCTCTAAAAATTTTCAAGTATTTTTAGGAAATTATGAATACAATTCTATGAGTTTTATAGAAAATCTGACACTTAAAATAAAATATACTGAAATATTTGGCAAGCATATCTAATGATTGCACCTGAAATGAAAACGCAATTCAAGGCGAGAGACTACAAAAAAATAAAGCAAGAGAAGGCAAGCCAATAACGCACCAGAAAATGTTTAAAATATTTAATTCACCCCTTTTTCTAATAATACCCAATCAATAAACAAATTCATATTTTGCTCATCTAATGTGAGAAGTACCCAGAAAAAAAATTACACAAAAAGTGGAGAATTTAAGCTTTTAGATGAAAATTAAGTTTAATTTCGAGCTGTTTGTATATTGGCTCCCGTCTTAGGTGAACAATGGGTTCATTTATTGTCAATGCCAAAAGAAAACCTTTGGTTTTGAACTGCGTCAATTCGACGATTTGCTTTGGTAATTGCAGCAAAACTATTAAATTGAGGTTTACCCACTGTTGATGCGGGTTTAATGCACCAAGAGCCGTATTTAAAGCAGAAAAAACAACATGTGTTTTTCTAGTCTCTGCTGAAAAACATTTCGGCTGTGGCTAATGAAGCCAATAAAACATTTGACTTTTGCACTACACGAAAATATAGAAAGGAAGGGGCCGAGAAACTAGTTTGACTCACGAACGAAATACAGTAAAAGAAGGCAAACAAAAACAGGCAGAACAAAACAAATTGCTCAGAAATGTTCTTCTGTTTAGGACCGAAAAAAATAAAACACAAAAGGCACTGAGTTTATAAGAAAAGTATTACGCAATAAAGGTAGATGATTTAAAAAGGTATGATTGAGGTTGGATGGTATATTATTTTACAAATGTCTTATCTCGTATATTTTTAGTCCCCGAAATTTGGCATAGAATTAAAACCAAAATATCCTGTAAAAGCACAAGATGGATGGATGAAAGCGATATCAAGCTGTGGGGAGTATCTTGTTAGCAGCATCGCCATTGCCACATATCGTATTCTATTCTCTTTGCTTGATTCTTAGTTTTTGATTCTTTTTTCCTGTTGTTTGTACACGTAGTCATATACAGCCCGGTGCCAAGTGGGACTCTCTCAGGTAAGATACTTAAATATATAGAAAAGCAAAGACACGACAAGTCAAGGTAAAAAATTACGCATTCTTTTTCGGGCATGGTCAGCCATTAGCTTTTGTATCTTACAGAGGGGAGAGGAGATATAAAAAAAGGAGAAACAGTAGTAGCTCAGACAGGCAGTAAGCACAAAAATGCACTTCGCAGATACTTTCGCATCCCTACTTCATGATAAGAACGGCCTAGTGTGGGCAGCATCGGAAACCAGTAACTTTGAGTGGACTACGCTGACAACTTATAGATGCGATTTACGTACATCTCGACGGTTGATTTTTCTGGTTTGTTATTATTCCCACACACGGATCCACCAGATACTTTTCGAAGAGTGCTACTAGGATCAGTTTTTAAGTTGTTACAAAAATAAAGTCTTTAAATTGTGAGCTATTAGTAAAATTATTGCATGCTAGAATAAATGCATTTCAGACTGAAATCGTAAAACATTTAAATACATTTTAATAAATTTAAAGTAATAACTAGTGAAGTTGTTTTTTATTTTGAAAACCAAAGACAATCCCCAAAGATATTTAGCAAGTTGTTACGAACTTTGTAGTTTTTTTGTTATAGAATTAAAAATGTGATTGTATTTTCAGAAAGTATACAATATTTTAATATAAATTCTCGAGGCCCAACAAAACTTACCTTTTCAATTTCTGATTATTGTTATTGTTGATGTTAGTATTATTGTTATTATTAATGGTGCTGCTGCTATCCACAACGAATTGTTGTTGCTGGTGCTGTGGTTGTTGTTGTTGGTGGTGCGGCGTCGTAGTTTCGGCTAATTTTCCAAAACAAATGTTACGGCTACTGTCGCGTACCATGTTTCGACAACGGAACACTCACAGCAAAATCTTCTTCTATTTAGGAGGAGCATTGCGTCGTATGCCGCGAATTGAGGGGCATCATTTTAAATGGGAGCCCTCCTTCCCATTAAACATTATGCACTCTTTTTATATATTCCAGTATGGGGATTGATACGATTTTGGGCTTGTTTAATTTGGGCTTTTATGGATTTCTTACTTTCAAATACTTTGGTAAGATTTTTGCTTCACTTGCACATTTTTAGCACTATATAACAAAAGAGAGGATGAATGATATGGGGTTATGGGGATTAGATATCGCCCTTTTTCAAGCTGACACTTAAATTTTTTGTTAAACACTTGCACAAGCACAGTATATGGAACCTTTCCATTGTGATTTTCACTTAATTTTACTATATATTTTGTTGGATTTACTTGATTTATTAAGCTTCTCGTTATTTTTTCACTTATGCCAATTTGCCTTCATTTAGCAACTAAAAATACGCTTGTAATTTAATTTAACTAGATCAATTTAAATTTATTGAAATTTCAATGGGCCCCAAGACGTGTTTTCTTCTTTTTGCCTCAATTTAAGCGAGAAATACGGTATGTACTAGATATATAAAGATAAACTTCTTGTATAGGACCATTTCCTCTGCAACAATACGAATGCGAGAAGGTGGAAAATGCGAGCAGCGACGTCGGCAGCGCGTTATTATAATCCCCACCCCCTGAAAAAGGGGGTTGGAGGTACAGCATGTTAAAATTCCATGCACTAAAGAAGCATGGAAACTACAAAAACAACACACACTCGTCGCTGAAGTTTGGCAACGCCGCTGCGGTAGCTCCATCTCGCTCGCTCTGCCGCGTTGGGGAACAGCGTGAAGAGCGGCAACGTCGCTTTGTTTGCCTATAATTGACGTTTGCCGTCTGACGTGGTTGTTGAAGAGAGATAGCATGCTGTTAGCTGTTGTTGTTGCTGCTTCAGCGCACAAAATTCATGGGGTGTTTGTGTGTGCGCGCCATATACTCGTGTATACATAAAGAATTTATAGCTGGTACTTTTTCTCGTACATGGAAAACGAGTATCTCTTGGCTGTGTATTTATAAATGGTTATGTGGTCATGTGGTGCGCTTCGTTCGCTTTGTTGTGCACGTTCTTCCATAAATCGTGTAGTTTTGTAGCCTCTAAATCTCCTACGTATTTTTTGTGGGGCGCAGCAGGAAATCACCCATACAGCCTTGCATTTTTACTCTCTGTGTGTGGTTGGGGTAATGAGTGACCTATGTGCGTCTCGCTTCAACCCATTAGCTGGGTCCCGACGGTGGTGTGAAAGTTTCTTTGCTGCTGCTGCGCTGCTCGCCCAAAACTTGGGGCCGCAACGCTACGAGATTTCAGTCGCTTTGTAGATCTGGTGGGGTGCGGCTCGCAAAAAAATCGAGAAAAGATGAAAAAGCTTGGAAATGGAAAAGGAGCACACACAAAAAAACCCAGCTTATTAGGCTGCGGAATAGGACAAGATCATTTTAAACACAAAACGAAATTTTTGCCTTTGTGTTTTGTTTCGCCATTTTGTGGTTGGAAATTTGTAGTTTTCTTTTTCTCTTGAGGGGGAAAAACCCCATTAAAGCCAGGCGCTTAACTAGAATTCATAAATATTACCAGCAGCAAAAAAAACCTGTTTTCGTATGGATGTATTTAGTATCTGCTTTTTTGTGGCTACGTGACCACGCACCAACACCAAAACAGGGGCAGCGCGACCGCATTTGCCAAAAAGAGAGCACCAACTTTGTAGTTTTTCTCTCCCCAATCTCACAAATACAATCTCGGTTACTGAGTGCGCACGCACACAAAACGGGTTAAGAAAAAATATTTTACTGCATCGCTCTGACCCGCTCGCACATCAGCTCAATCGATTTTTCAAGCGACACGACAATTTCACTACACCCTCTTCGCTCAACGTTTGTCTCGCTCTGACCCGAGCGCCAGTGGGAGCCCCTTCTCTGTCGCTCTGCCTGGCTCCGGCTTATTTTGCGTTGTTCGTTTTTGTAGTTTGGAGACCGCGCACACACAAGCAGATATTTATATACGGTTTATATATAGTCGCCATGTTACTTTTTCCTACGTTGGGGGAGCTGTCAGCCTGGATTTTTCGCTACAAATTTCCAACAACGTCTCTCTTTCGCTGCCTCTGCTGTGGCCGCAGCCACGGTCGGCTTCAGCGACGTTATTTTCAGCCCGTTGCACGTCATCCGTTTCGGTGTGTGTGTGTGTGTATGTTTGGGTGTGTGTGTGCTTTGAATTTCTGATGAAATTCTTTGCTTTCGAGTTAATTGCTGCCCCGTCAGTAGCAACGCTTCTGCCGCGGTCACTGCCTCTGCCGGCGTCGCTGCCACCAAGCTCACATTTTTGTTGTGCCATTTTTCTTTGTACTGGTACTGCCAATTGCTATAGATCGTCCGAAGAACAACATTTTATGGGAATATTCCACGATATTTAAGCAAACTTTTATCCTGACATTTGTTTGAGTTCTACTGAATTCGTCCCTAAATCGTAACACACAAAAAACCACAAGGAATTGGTCAAGAAAATCAGACGATCTTTAAGATAATTTTTTACTTTACACATGATACATGAAATTTTGAAAGTCCTTTGAGCTTTAAAAAACACAATATTACTTTTTATTGTTGAGCTTTTGAAAGCAAAAATAATTTTGAAATTGAGTTTCAACAAAATGTTGTGTTTATGTGTTTCAAAACTCACATTTTTTATTTATAGATACTTTTTAGGCATATTTGATAATGTGGTTTTGTTTGATTAAATTTATGGCTTTTTTAGTTGAAAAATTTGGGGCTTATTTGAAGATAGTTGTTTTAATTTTATAATTAGGATTTTCGTTAACCTCTTTCCATTTAGTAATGCACTTTCTCAAACACTGTCCCGAATTTCACTTCAATTTTGGTGAATTATTTCTCTATTTTCATAGATTTATCCTTTCTTACCATTTGCGTTGAGAGCTGCAAAGAAATGTGGAAAATACATAACGTTATAAATATTCAATTTGTTTTCCTAATTAATAATACTGATCTTTCCCTGAACTAAAATTATAACTGCATTGAGTTAACGGAGCGAGTTCGAGAAAGTCGAACTGAAACGTTTTTGAGGAAAACCAGAAAAGACTTCAGTGATGAGTTAAAAAATAAAAAATCTGTTCCTATTGGTTTATACACATAAAAAAAACTATCAATGAATGTTTCCTGTTTGACAAAGTTAATATTTTATTGCCGGCTGAGTTCATTCAACACAAACAAATAAACATTTTTAAAAATATCTACAAAAAAAATTTTGTTTTGCTATCCACTGGAAAATTCGGTAATACTTACACCATTGAAGCTTATTTCCTTTGCTGATCATCGGATCCTTGTTCGATGGCGATTTTATTTGTTTTGTGAACCCGATTTGGACTGTATTCGAAACTTGCGCATTTTACTGGTTGTATTTTGTGGTAATAGCTTTCGGTGTTAGTGCTTTTTCGAAAACCTTCAAAAAGGTAATGACGCGCCCGTTGAGTTCTGCTTCTTCTGCGAGCCGACCCGAAAAAAACAGATCCGAGTCCAAAATTTTTGATTTTAAATAATTTTTCTTAATCGATGTATTTTGTTATTTTCCTGTGTTTTTATGCACTCGGGATTTTGGGAATAATTTTTGCTGCAAACTCCCTGCGAATTTCATTCGGCAGAAAAAGCTTCACAAAATTGATTAGGAAACAATAAAAAAATTTAATTTTTATCATTTATTGGCCTTTTATGTTGTTGCTCTATTTCCATTTGCTTTCTGCCTGTTTTTTTGTTTGTATTTTATTGTATTTGGATTTGCGTTAACTCTTCTTTCTCTCGCTGTTGTTATTGCTGCATCTGCCGTTGTATTGGTGTAATTAATGCTTTTTCGCACACAAATGCAATCACGCGCGCACACACACACAATTATGCCGATGCTGGCCCGCACGCATCCACACACACACTGAGATGGGAAAAGGGGTGGGGGCACTTAATTTCTTTCAGATATTAACAATAATTTTTTTTCGTTGTGTGTGTTTTGGCGGCGTTTTGATTAATCGCACTGCCGCCGTTGTTGTTGTACTGCTGTTTTTTTTTTGCTCGCCTGCAAACGACGCGCGCGATCCGTTCACTCTAAAAATTTCCAAAACAATGTGACCGTTAGGGTGGTTTTCAGTATGACCGCATACAATGTGACCGAGAGTGAAACGATCAAAAATAACTAATAAGTATTTTTATACCGAAAATATACCAAAAATTATAATTATCCAATACTTAAACCATGGCAGTTGAATTTTGAACTGCCTTTTAGCAATAACATAAAAACCAATTAATACGGTGCTCACACAACCCATGAAAAAAGTTGTGGCGAAAAAGAATTGTCTTAGATATATCAATCTTCTCTTTGATAGATGAATGGTGAGAGTCATTTTTTCTTTTCCACCATCCTAACGCAAAAACCCTACTCCCCTGTTTGGGCCTGTTTTGAATTACTTATAATATAAATTTGTTTTTCGAACGGTATTTCGTAATATTGACTTAAAATTTTAAATAATGGGTCTGCCCGAAATCATCAAATTGGCACGGTTATAAAATCTAGATGAGCCAAACCTGCATTATAAATTGCTTTGCTTTACTTTGATCCAAACCAAATTTGTTGTGTTTAACCATGCAATTTTTAATTTAGTTTTCTCTAAATATGATTTAATATTTATGGGAGATCCACAATTAAAAATAAGGAGAATCGCAAAGTTTTCGAACGGCAGTACCAATAAATACTATTATCTGTCCGTTTTTCTTGATATTCTCCGAAGTACACTTTTAGGCAAATGATTTAATTCGTTACAATGTTTTTCATAAAGTATAATTACATTTTAAAAAAATGGTTTTGCGACTTCGTTAACTACGCATGGCCATTTTGTTTTTAAAATTAAGAACGATAGTCAGACGTAGACAAAAAGACGACAATCAGGCAGCTCTGGCCGTTATTGCTATCGTTATCGCGGCCAGCAGCTTGTTTTGTTTTGCTTACACGACAGATAAATAACTAAAATTAGCAAAAAAAATTATAAATATACTCTTAAAATGAGTAGTTTAAAATCGGACTTGGACGAATACTTGCTGCTGCAGAGTGACCAAAAAAAAAGTTTCAGCGTTAAGCTGCCACAGCTGAAAGTTCCATTTTTTACTAGGAAGTCGGAGCCGGAAGCAAATAGTTGGCTTAAGGATACGCAGGATTCGTGTTGTCCGAAATTGGTTCGTTTTTTACCTACGTAGTAAAAGGCAAGAATGGCTAATTTATATTCTTCCCTTTTTCAGTCCCGCTTGCAGCGAATTGTGGGTTTCGTTGCCTGTTTGGGAATGGGAGGATTGTGCATGACTCTATCCACATTCTACATCCCCGTGCTAATCTTAAAAGCCAGAAAGTTCGCCCTGCTGTACACCCTCGGCAGCCTATTCTTCATCTTGAGCTTCTGTTTTCTGTCCGGATTTGGATCCTTTTTAAAGCAGATGTTCTCGAAACCTAGACTGCTGACTTCTATTTCGTATAGTTCCTGTTTGCTTTTAACTTTATATTGCGCCTTGGTGGCCAAAAGCACCGCATTCACTGTCCTTTTTGCAGTGACACAAATAATTGCCTTGCTTTTCATGATTCTGGGCATGGTGCCCGGTGGAGCAACAGGGATCAAGTTCTTTGGACAACTCTTCAAGAGCACCGTTTCGGCGTCAACAAGTGCGCTGCCTGTATAAAAACGGGGAAAAATAAATGTTACACCACCGCAACGAAAAGTAACTTATTAAACTCATTAATAAATCCAAAATAAAACTTATTTGTGATACAAAGCCTCTCAAATGTAAAGCACTTATTGTATAAATCATTTATTCGCGGGTTGAGTCACCAACAAAAATTTTTCCAAAAATCGAACGTAATAAAAATAAAATATGTAACAAGAGAAAAGTACTGGTGGATTACGGAAAATGCGTCATACCCTTTGTTAAAAAATTCCATAATTCCATAGATATACGTGTCTTTAGTGTACACAAATTTATTGACAAATCCCCGCGGCTTTGGAGTGCCTACAGTTAAAAATCTAATCCCCAATCTTTGCTAAAAGTTACCTGGTTTTCAAAATTGTGTTCACGAGAGTAGCAATCCTCTCACTCTTCAGAGTAATCATCGGTCATTCATCAATCTCTCCCAGATACAAAGTCTTATCGCTGGATCCAGAGAGAATTAGCGGTTCTTTCGGGCTGAAGTCCACAGCATTGACACTGCCATTATGTCCGGGGAGTTTGTAGAGTATTCTTCTTGTATTTACATCCCAAATATAGACATGTCTATCGGCGGAACCCGAAGATATTTTATCGCTACCCGGCGACCAAGCGCAGCGCAGCAGATTCTTTTCAAAGTTGTGCTGATGGCCCTGAAAAACTTTCACACATCTTTCGCCTGGGGCATAGGGTCTGACGTCCCATACCCTCAAGGTGTTATCCATGGCGTTCGTTAGGACGAAGTCTCCTTCGGGGGACAAGGACATTCCAGTAATCGTATCGGTATGGCCTCGCAGGTGATGCAAGACAGCCTGCTTTCGTATGTCCCAAATCTTCAGTTCATTGTCAATCCCGCCGCTAATCACTTGCTCGCCAGTATCGCTAAAACAGACTGCGGTCACTTGGAAGGGGGATTCTAGCGTGTGTATAGCGTGCTTCTTCCTGGCATCCCAGATCTTTATGGAGCGGTCATCGCTCCCCGAGCAGAGGAGCTGCTGACCCCTTCGCGAGCCCTGCACGCTGTTCACGAAGTTGCCATGGCCCTTAAACCTCCGTTGTCGCTGCCCCGTGACTATGTCCCAGATCGCCAGGGTTTTGTCCGTGGAGCAGGTAAAAATGTGCGAGCCATCTGGAGTAAAGTGAGCTTCCATCACAGCGCCACTATGCCCTGACATGGCCATCACATTCTCGCAGTCGTCGTACACCTGCCAGATGTCTGAAATTCGAGTTTTTGAAATTATAAAACGTAATAGTCGATTGAAAGCAATCACTTAATAGAAGAATCGTTAACAAGCGTCGAATCCATCCGGTATATCTTTTAATTTTACCTAACATGCACAAGTTTATGACGATTGGTTTTCACTCACATATTTGCCTATCGAACCCGGAGGAAAGCAGTAGTTCTCCCTCCGGATGGAACTCCGTTGTGAAAATCTCGCCTTCATGTCCTTCCAGCTGCATTATGGGCGCCTGGAGGTTGGAGGTTCGCCTCACACCCTAGAAAATAAATAAATACAAACATTTTAACCAAATCCGTAGGAAAATGTTCTGGGTGCTTCTTCTTGCCAGCACGCTTACCGATTCAAGGAGCGATTTATCTCGATTAGTGTAGGCCACCAGATCGCTTTTGGTGCGCTTAGCGTCTTGCGCCAAGGCCACTGTGTTGTTTGGTCTTTTGGTTCCCATTATTGTTTTTATTTGAAAAAATTAAAGTTACTACAATTTTTTCAATCACACAACAAACCGTGAGGCAGTGTGACCGCAGCTTCAATATATACCATGTGCCGCGAATAAACATACTAAAGTTAAACTGGCGAAAATGTTGGTATTTATTAATATATCTGGCTATTTCCAAATGCATTTCCTAGCTAGAAACACCAAAAAAATACTATTAAAATCATGTTTTGTTTCCTTTATTTTACACAATTTGCGGCTATACAATATGCAATTTCCCAAGAATGTAGGATCCCGTTTAATAGGCGTCAACGCGCGGGGGTTCGGCAAAGAATTCCTCGCCCTTGCGTTCTCCCTTGAGCCACTGCTTGTAGCGCTCGTTTCGCATGGCCTGAAAGACGGATTTTAGGCATTATAAACTTATTATTGACAAGTAGATAAGGGGAAACATACATGGAAACGCATCAGTTGCTTCTGCATGCCTACGCATTCCTGGAAGTCGGAGATCAGGTCGGCACACTCCCGTTTTCCACGCTCCAACCCATACGCCTCAAAACACTCCATCATCTTCATCTCAAATTTACCGCATTTGTCGTAGGTCTGGTGGTTAATCAGGCAGCCGGTCAGATCGGTTAGGGGCAGGCGCAAAAAGGGAGTCAGCGACATATTGTCTGCAGAATAAAAGTTAATCAAATTAAGTTAGTTTGTGGTCGATTGTTCTGAATCCAACACTTTGCTGTGACGTAACAATAAATAAAGGCTCCAAGTCAAGTTTCGAGGTCCAGGTATAACTCTTTTAATTTCAACAGTTTATTAATGGATTCCCATTAACTTTTAGCAGTTATTTCGTTAATTGCACACCTTAATTGCTGGCAACTCACAATGAAAACAATTATTTTGTATTTTTATCTGCGCCTTCAGACCAGTGTTAATCAACGCCTCGACAGCTGACGGCTGACGGCTAATGGTGTTGGTTAGCGCGCGAACCGCTCTGCACGTTTTGTTTATAAAAATAATTGTTTTTATAAAAAAAAACATGAAAAACCAGGATTTGGTGGACTACTTAAGGTCCTGCGGTGTATGCGGGGTTTGCCAGCTACGTTACCTGAAGGCCAGGGGCTCGGAGTACAAGGATGTTAAGGAAACTCTGCGAAAGGTGGGAGTTCTCAAACTTAAATTTGTTGACATTTAAATAATGGCTTCTTTTTTAAATGTCCAGTTGGATGTAGAAGTGAATGAAATTGTGGAAAATGGAGAGGCTGCAATATCCCCCGAAGATCGACCTGCTAAGAAAGCCCGCCGAGGCATTTGTTCTACGTGCCTGGGCTTATTCTCAGAAGACTTTCAGATGGAGCTCCTGGCTGGTATTTTGGCTTCGGACTTTGCCAAATACGACTGCCAGAAAATAGTTTTGGCCATTTGCTTGCCCATGTCCCTGCAGTTAAAGCAGTTGGCCATGTGGTTTGCCTTGCAGAGGAAATTTGGAGCAGCTGTAGACGGTAATAATCCCCCAGATGTGCCCATTAAAGAGGCTGTAAAGCTGATCCTTCACCCAATAATCTGTGAAAAGTTGTCTAAGGAGTACGATGCCAACGGTCTGATGATAAATATAGACCTCACTCACAAACTGGAGGACGAGGAGGTGGAGAAACTGGTGAAATTAAACAAGGATGCCTTTCCCGCCAAGGCTGCGTATCAGAAAAGGATTGAAATCTCGAGAGGTTTGCTGGAGAAGCAATATCAACCCTCCAAAGTGAAGGCGGAAACCTTTGAGAAATATTTCGAGATACCTTGCTCGACCGTGGAGGAACCTCTGAAGCTAACTTCCATAGATCTGCAAGGCCCCTTGGTATGTGTGGCTGGCAGATATCGAAAGTTGAGCAGGGAACTTTCGCACACTCCCTGGGTTATGAATGGCCAAAGACTAATGGAGGACAGTATTGAGGAAATAATCATCAGACATGTGGGTCCCCATTTCACAGAAAGGCTGGACAAAATCACCTTTATGTCGAGTGGCAGAGAGGATGTGGATGTCCGATGTCTGGGAAAGGGCAGGCCTTTTGTTTTGGAAATACCAAATGCGATAAGAAGCTGTTTAAGCAAAGAGAAGGCCTACAAGATGGAACAGGCTGTGGATACATCTGGAAAAGTGTCCGTACTTAATTTACAAGTCGTGGCTAGAGAAGATTTAACCCAGATAAAGACTGGGGAAGAACAGAAAAAGAAATTCTATCGCGCTCTTTGCGCTTTAAAAGAACCTGTTTCGGTAGAGATCTTGAGTAAACTGCAAATTCCACAGAGCTTTGATATACAGCAAAAGACCCCTATAAGAGTGCTTCATCGTCGTCCTTTGCACACGCGTCCTAGAACGATTTACAGTGTCAAGGCAAAAGTGCAACGTGGGAACCCCAAAGCTCTGGTCATCGATATTGTCACCCAAGCGGGAACTTATATAAAGGAGCTAGTTCATGGAGAGTTTGGCAGAACCACGCCGTCATTGTCCTCGATCCTAGGCAAACACATCGATATACAAGCTCTGGATGTGGTAGGAATCGATTTGGAATGGCCACCAGAGGTAGACAATTCAACACCTACAGAGGAAGGAGCTACAAATATAAGATAAATCATATTTAAGTGACTTTTAAATAAAGATTTGTAAGAAATTAATCATCACTTGCTTATAGGGATTATAATGAATGAATGAATCTCTGCTAGCAATGCCAAACTTTAAATTAGAAATTATAGCGGATATATTGCCTAGTCCGTATGTCCATCCGTTGCGACTCGGCTATTGGTGCAGTAATTTTACCTACACATCGTGGCAAACTTTTGCCTAACATCTTAATACCCCCTAATTCTCTTCTAAAATATTCTATTGTATTTATAAATAACTAAGACGAAAATTGGTTAAAATATTGATATTAATACGAAGCCGGGTTTCGATCCCTAAAATCTGTTGCTTGTGATTGGCAACGGAGTAAGAGTTTTAGTCGAAGGGCAAAGCTGACCTGCGCAGTGGATGCTTTTTGGAGCTCTCACAACAGACAAGTTTTGGCTTTGGCTACAAAAGGACTTGGCAAGCGCTCGAATTCGGCATTCGTTGCTAGCCAGTTGGACTGTTTGCGTTTGGTTAACCCAATGAAGTAAATAATCGAAGAAAATGGAACAAGTGCGGAATTAGTGCCAGGACATTTGCTACCGGATGCAAGCGTGCGTGACAATTAAAAATTAAAGCCGAGTGAATAAGCCGGAGGAAGTTGGTTAGATAATTGCAGTTAGAGGCGTGGGAGGCCCAGTATGTTCTTTCGGCGCATTTTGGAACGCAAGGATAGCGCTACTAATGTGCCGCTTCCCTTGACGACCACGGAAAGTCCGCAACTGCACTACAATAGCGAGGACAGCGAGAGTGCCACTTACGTGAGTGGTGCCGCTGGCAGTGAAGTCAAGGACAGCAATAACAACCAGTCGGGTGGCAGTGTGGCTGCTCCGCCCGCTCCGATGAAAGTTCAGCGCCGAGTTGAGGCCCCAATAGGTGCAGTGCAACTGACACCGCTGTGGGAGCACATTCTCCGCAGCCGGCGCCTTCCGGAAACAATTTGCCCTAGCGCCATGTACGCCGAGTTCCATGAGCGCTTGCAGGATCCAGAGTGGCAGGTGCGCCAACACGCCCTCCGAGTCCTCGTCGATGTCCTTGTCGTGATGCAAGACGAGGCCGATGACCACATGGAGCGCCAGCAGCTCATTGGCTTGCTGGTCGAGAACCTGGGCCATCAGGCACCCACCGTGCGGAAGGGAGCTCTCGATTGCCTGCGAGTCTACCTTGCAGAGACCGCCATTCCGGATATAGTCATGCTGGGGATCCTCGATGCCAGCCTGTCGAGGCAGGCACAGGCGCAGACGGGGCAATTGGGGCGCCTCACCTGCGGGGTAATGTTGTCTCTGCCTGCCCTACTGCAAACAACTCTGCACACTCCCCAGCGACACCGCATCGCAAAGACCACTTTGGAGAGGGTCGTGCCGCACATGGATCAACTGGCCAATCAGGAAATCACTCTGAAGGTCTTAACAAAGATCAAAGAGCTACTGGGGCACCACGAGTTCGAAGACATTATGAGTGATTTGGGCCGTGGCGACGCCCTGAACGAGTACTATCAACTTTGTCAGGTTTACGGGGTGTCTGGGAAACCGAAAAAAAGGGGCGAGTTAAAAACGGGCGCTTGGCGTGCATTACCGCGTGAACAAGGCTGGAGAAACAGCCACGATATCGACACAATGGACAGCGCGCTCCAGATACAGTCAAGCTGTCCGGACAAAGGAAAGGTCATTATGGAAACGGAGATCAAAATCAACGACGACACGGTGACCATGCGTCTCCTCGAGGCGGACACTGAGACGGAAGAGTCCGACAGCCCAGCCAGGAGATACTCAAAGGACGGAGAGTCGGTCTGTCACCCCCTTTTGTCCAGTGTCACCAGCCACCACAAGCTTAGTGTTGGGGCGGGGATTGTGCAGGTTATAAGTGATTCAGAACTAGACGAGCTGCAAGCCACCAGGCCCGGGAGTCTTTCCGAGCCGAGCACTCCCTCTCGAGGTCCGAAGCGCGTAACCTTCGGCGGAGAAATTGTTAAGATGCGAACCCCCGACAGCGACGTAGCCTCTTCTACAAGCTACTCTCAACAAAGCCCCGCCCAGGCCAATCCTAGTGCCACTATCCTGACTTTGGGACGTGCATCGCCCACTCGCCTGATCTTGCCGGAGGAGGAGTCCCCTCTTCTAAATTACACTAAACCGCCCAGTGACAAACGAACAACGGCGCTCGTGGTCGAGATCCCATTGGACAATACTAAGCCCTTGCCCCCACCAATACCCTTCAATTCGCAGTCGCCCGTTCATCAGGGCAACGTGTTCAGCGATCAACCAACGACCAGTCCCAGCAACCGAAAGGAGGTGGACGGAAGGCAGTCGCCATCACTCCCCTCTCCCGGGTTTCGCAGCCGCAGCACCAGTCCGACTGGGAGCAACAACATAAGCCCCAAAGTGCCGCACAAGCAAATCGAGGTTCTGCACAATCTACAACGCGACCCGTCGCCGCGATCCCAGCGTCGCTCGGAGGACATGAGTGCCCCACAAGGAGAGGGCCATCCTGTAGGCGGAAATAACTCTGCCTCACCGGCACTTCCAAGGAGAACTGGAACCGCCTCAACGATGTCTGCAGAGTCGCCGGCCACACCCAAATCCTGGGAGGACCTGGACATTGTCAACTTCAAGACGCTGATGGACCTGCGATCTGGGGTGAGTTCCTGAAGTTTACTAGCCATGTCGCCATAATTGCAACAAAATTAGCGGCCGACATTTAGCAATCTCCGTGTAATTGCACTCCTCTACCCAAATCTCCCGCATGGGCTACTTTGTGTGAACGAAAATAAAGCAATGAAATTACACAGCACGCTACCATTGGGGTAGCTGTTTTCCAGTCGGACGGCGCTTTGGGCCCTAACTGGGTCACTAGGATATGTACAATTTCATATGCGTTCATAATTCTGCCTTCATAATGGCAGCCGCCCGGCTTTATTGCGGACGAGACACGCATCACTCTTCCCCCTGCCGGCATTGCTATTACAGTTGCTATTATATCGCCCGCGACCCTTTGCTTACTAATACCAATTTCTGCGATAAGCGACTATAGAAAACAAAGCCGGCTACTACCAAGGCTCTATACCAATGACCTATTAATTTTTTGACGTACAGCGTTCAAAGAAAAATAGTAAAAAATATTTTTACATGACGGACAAGTGGTACCACTCTTTTCAGAAGTAAGCCTATAACCAAAAACAGCACTAAAACATCATAAGTGAACTTAACATTAAACAGCAAAATAATTCAGTGAGTAAAATTTGTTCGTAAATATAAACGAAATTTCGCATTTATTAACAGTTAATGTTTTTCGAATGTAAAATTTCTCCATTAGATTAGATCTTCGAATAGAGGTGCCACACTCATTGTTCCAGTTATCTGACCCTAACAGTAATAGTACTTATGCTGCCACTTGCTGGTTCAGATGTGCCTCTTATCAGGACCAACTTTTTGAGTGGTGCACAAAAAAACTTTAAGATTCCGGTAGCAGTTGCATGTTGTGCTGACTGGGAGTTGGATTGGATTGCATTGCTTTGTTTTGTTGGGGAGCTGCAGCCGAGTACCAAAAAGTTCTACGCCAGTGGCGTAGTTGGCCGGTCAATCATTTAAGTGCACGCGATTTCCATAGCGCCACGTTTAAAAACAAGAGCAAGAACAATAACTCACGCCTCAGCTTGCAGCTCGTATGCGACGATAAAATGGAAGGACCACCGTAAAGGAACGATGTTTGATGAAGACGCTGGCCGTGGGGGAAGGGATCAGGGGTCAGGGCACAGAGCGTGTCAAGAACTGGGTCAGTCCAAGCAGAAATATATAAACAACATTAACCGAAATTATAGCACGTACTAAATAGAAGCTGTAAGGAACACCTGCGTCGACCACTAGCTGGTTGGTCTATGTTTTGCTTCGAAATTTAAATGTCATTTTCTTTAAAAAAGCGAGAGACTTTAAAAAAGGTTAATATTTACTTCATTAACCACTTGACAGTATTAGCTTCCATTATTTCGGAACATATTCAAATTCCAGTACTCAAACTTAACATTTATCAATTTATTTTATGTTAGGACAAAATTTGAAAATTACACAATCCCAAAATCTATATTAATTAATTTCACAAATGAGTAATTTTTGTATATACATACATTTTGAACTGAAAAGGCTAGCTCAACGAGACTATAGATCCCAAGTGCATTCTATGGTTAATTTAATAGAATGATATTTATGACACATTTAGTAGGACTACTAAATCGAATGCGCTTCACACTAAATTTGCTAAATTAGCCCAAATGTGCCACGCAAAAAAGTACTTACCTATTATTCATATTCTTTGCACGTTCGGTAGGATTGGCGCAATCGGCTGATGGGCATCGCCCAACTAGAGCTCGCCCTAAGTTCGTCGAGCAATTTGGCCTTGGTGCAACCGTATCTGGACAGTTTGCTGCGAACTCTCCTCTCCTCGGAACGGCACTTCGAGGTGGCCGAGCTAAAGCGAGAGCTGTTGGTTAACCTGATCTCACGTCTGCCTTTGGACAACCTGGAGGAGCGCACGCCACAGATCCTGACGGGGCTTTGTCGCCAGGGCAACGCTGGAGCGAACCGGGTATGCAAGGCTTTAATGCAGCGACTTCCGGCTGGAACAATTGTGGCCAAACTGACTTCGCCAGAATTTCTGCATGCAAAGAGTTCAAAGGTAAGTATTTCTGCATTGAACAAGTGGATCTAAAACGTACCTCAAATCACCGCAGTTCCGGGACCATGCGCTTCAAATGTCCATCTTTTCCCTAATGACCTTTCCGGGCACCTGCTTCGACATAAACCTCCTGACGGCTCAGGCCGTATACTCTCTGCTAAACCGCAAGCGTCGCGTGCGCCAGGCTGCCTTGGAGGTACTGGCAGTCCTGGCGGATATATCATCGGTAAAGGATGTCCTAGCCATCGTCTCAGAAATGACGGCCGGCGTAGAACTTGGACCACTAGTGTTGGAGGCGGCGAGTGTGCGCCTCTCGCGCTTGCAGCTGCCCATTGTGACTCCCGACAGCGGTGTGCTCTTTGTTTTTAACCAGACTTATCAACCTGGATCCAGGCGTTCTGGAGCGGATGTGGATTGGATCTGTCAGGGGGAGGGCTCCGCCTCGCCTAACTCCATCAAGAGAAGACGCATGCGGGCTGCAAGCAGTCAGCTCGACGTACTTGAGAGCTCGGAAGTAACGAATAAGAAAGATATGTTCCACAGGTAGGAAAAATTAATTAGATGCCTGTAACACAGAAACAATAATGCATTTGTGCATTAACAATATTGTAAATCTTCAATTATTACTATAATTAAGTAATAATTGAAGTTTTTTATTGTCCGATATTAAAAGATATTATTCTATGAAAATGTCCTTCTACAAAAATATGCGAATTTAAGCAAAGGAAAGCTAACACCAAACATTAATAATAGTCATTCGATTTAGAAATTATAAATCAAATAATTCTATGAACCTATCTAGGAAGCTAATAAGCTTTAAAAATGTGAGTTCTCAGTTTCAGCCAGGTAAACGAGACTCTGCATCGACATTCGTTTCACTCGCCCCCAGAAACTCTGGACATGACTAGCCCCACAAATGTGAGTTTGATGCTTTTTATGGATAACTTATTCTAAACATAATTTTCACTCTAGGACTTTTCGCAAAGATTAAGTTTTGGCGCTAAGACTAACAATGGTAAAAGGCCTATAAGTACATTTTCAATATATTCTACTTCACCCAACTGTTTCATCAGTAGGAAAGCAATCTTTAATGGACAGACGCATGGTGGCCAAGGCGTGCTCTGATACTTCGATGGATGGGCGAAGTACTGATAGCACGACCACCACATGCAGCAGTGGAAGCGCCACAGGCAGCTTTATTCAGCTCACCTCCCGCACTGGAAGTCTATTTCCCGGAGAGAAATCCAGGTGCGTTATCTACGAACTGCAGAAAATATCTTAATAATGATAACACGTCTCCCACAGATTTCCCGCCATGAACCAGCACACAGACTTCGTCAACAACTTTATGCGAAGCATGCAGCGCAGCACTAACTCCTACTCCGTGAAGGGTCGGGCCTACCCGAAGGTCAGTTATACTATTCCAAAGGGCCAGCAAATGCTTCGCAAGAAACTCCAGCACCAGCACTCTTTTACAAAGCTGAGCAACGGAGGGCCAGCTCAAGGCAAGTCTCATCTGTGGTTGTCCTGCCAAATTTTACGTTATCACGGTCACATTTATTTTTACCTAGGTTACGAAAAAAGCAAGATAAACGAATCCCAAATTAGGCAACAGAGCGACTTTTCTTTAGAACACTTGCAAAAACTGGACACCGAGTGCGCCGACGCCGCCAAATCAGTGTAAGTGTCAACTCTATATCTCAATTAAAAACCGGCATCAGAACCCATTTAGTCGCCACAGTGGTTTACCCCTGCCTGTACCCGAAAGTTAACCTACATTTTTAAACACACCCGTTCTGATATATTCGACCCCTGGTCGGGGTAAATGGGAAGGGGGTCAGCGAATTTAGTTGTCGCCCCCGGCCGGCACACGCACCTCCTCACAAAAGTGCGGTCTTAAAGGTGTTGGGTTGCTTAACCTAAATAATTCAAATGCGCAGTGGAAACGGCGTTGGTGAAATTCAAGAATATGGCGGGGGACATCAGTTAACGTCACCAGCGACAAACCTTCAAGTGACCACTAGCGATTTTGTACCGAATCAATTTCGATAGCTTATTTTAAAGCTAGGTAGTACTGAGGGAAGTGGAAGAGTAAGGAAATTGATTTTCCTAAGCATATACGGTTATGCTTGAAGTGACCGATAGTTCAAAATGAATTGTATTCTGAAACCAATACTCAAAGTATTATGTTTCGATTTAAGCTATAGAAAAGTTAGCAGGTGAAAGTACAATCTTGTAGACGGTGAAATTTCAAGCTTTCAATACATACCTTAAAGGAATCTTATGAACATGGAAACTTGCTGTATTGCCGACTTCGGGATTTTCCGCGATGAAACGAAGGCGTCCGAAGATGACTAAGAGGTCCTTGTCTAGAAACCAGACCGACTAAAGCCAAATGCCACTACTCCGCGAAGACCGTTGGCCAGTTAGCTTGGCAGTTCGTTGCTGGTTAGCACTAGACCATCCCACGACCTTTTCATAGCTTTAACTTGCCACTCTGTGGGTGGGCGGGGACTTTAACCATTTTGTGTGTGTTCGTGTGAAGGCTTGGAAAACGCAATGTCCTGTTGTTCGTTTGCAACTTTGGCTTTGTTGTGGGTTTCCCGGTATGGAAATTCATTTGAAGTGGCCAAAACAACTGGCGACGACCACTGCAAACAGTCGGAAAAGTCGCGTTGCTTGAAGTGGTTGCCAATTGGGGTTTGGTCTAGTATGTGTTGTATCCAGTAGTCAAAAGCCAGGATAATTATCCAATTGGACTAGCGAAAATATGCAGAATGCGTTGTCCTGTGGCGCGCAGGCATCTGATCTGCTGCGTAGGACACGTACTCTTTTCAACTCGGTCGGGGCGTGCATCTGCCACAGGGCCACAGGAGCACATTCCACTCTGAGGGGAGCTTTTTGTGGCCACAATTCGGTCTGCGGCACCTGCTGCACCGACACGGCTCTAGAGTCCAGAAAATCGATGCCAATTGATACAGAAAGGCAGCTGGTTGATGATAATTCCACATTCGCGGTATTTCAGCCACTGGCTGATACTGAAAAAGACAAAGTTAATGTCGAATATGGGAATGAGTTGTAAGTCGCTTGAAAATTTTAACAGATATTAACTGACCCATATTCTTCTTTGCCTACAGTGACAAGGAAACCGAGAGGGCAGTTCAACCCTCGGTGACGGCGGTCAAAGACAAGACAGACGGCTCCCCTCTCTCGGTAAGGTCCACCAGCTATTCGCAAAAGTCGACAGCATCGGCGAAATCGATTGGCAGCCATAGCGAGGTGGGCAATCCTTTATCCTCATCGGCTGGCGACGGCACTATCGACGCCCAAATGGAGGGCCTGAGCCTGGAACAGGATCCCGTCGAAGCCTTCGGGGAGTTGGTAGTGGCCGATATTGAGGAAGCGGAACCTCCCGTCCATGATGATCCGATCAAGCTTAACGGAAGCCTAAATAGCCTGCACAGCAAAACTGAGAGCATCAGAACTCAGCTGGAGGACACTACACCGCAACTCTCGAGGGCTCAGTCCGTGAAATCGCTGCCCATTGAGGAGGACATTGAGGGCAGCAACAGTTTCGTGGTAGTCGAAGAGGAACAGCACGAGCTGGAATCATCGCCCCTTCAGACCACGCCGGTGAAGCAATTGCAGGAGAAACCAGTAGATCCAGTAGAAGTTTCCAAAACGGAAAATAACAGCATTGACCCAAAGTTGGTTCAAACGCATGAAGGCATAGTGATTCATTCACGTAGCATTTCCCTGGATTCGCTCTACGGCGTACGACCGGAATCGAAGCAGGGATCCTTGGACACCAGCACGAGCACCACGGACAACACCTCGCAGTCCGGTTTTCACATGGGGAACATCAGCTTCTCCGGAAAGGCTCAGCACACGCCGCTCAAGCAGAAGTCCAAGACATCGTACTTCTTGCGGGCACAGCGACGAGTCTCACCCGTAAAGCAGGCTATCAAGATGTCCCAGGCGGAACTTTTTCCGCAGAACATGGCGCGCTTTGAGAAGCCACGCGAGGCTCTGCTCAAGACTTTCGACCAGCTGGACTCCAGCAATTGGGAGATGAACATGACCGGTCTGAAGAGCATGGTGCGTCTGATTCGCTACCACGCCGACACATTGGACAATCAGATGCACATGACATGCATCCAGCTTACCCGTTCAGTCCGAAATCTGCGCTCCCAGGTGGCTCGCGCCTCTTGCCAAGCCGCTGCCGAGCTGTTCTCCCTGAAGTCAACCAGTCTCCAGCTGGAGTGTGACGACCTAGTGTGTGGCCTTCTGCACCGCACCGCCGACACGAATCGCTTTCTCCGCGCCGACGCCACTCACGCCTTGGAGTCAATGGTGGATAACGCACAGCCGCAGAAGATATTAAACATCCTGGCGGCGAAGGGAGCCCAGCACCAGAACGCCTTAGTTCGCACCACTTCAGCTAAGCTGCTCTTCAGACTTGTCGAGCGACTGGGCAGTGATCGCATTTACGCAATGGGTCGGGAGAGTCGCGACAAGTTCTTTGTGGTGGGGGCCAATCTGCTGCTGGAGGGCAGCCTGGAGACCCGCAGCTACGCCAAGTCCTTATTCCGGGCCCTCTCTGAGCACCACAACTACCAGCGACTGCTTCTGGAGGTGATTCCGCCACGGACGTACAGGAATGTGGAGAAGACGCTCAGAAGCATCACACGTTGATTTCGCTTGTGCGTTATCTGTACAGCTTAGGTTTAGTATCTGAAGCCACTGAAAGCTTAATTACATACATTTAAATATGTTCAAAATACAAACATATGAGAATAACTTTACCTTATCTTAAGTGTTCTCTTAAGCTAACCGTAAAAACATTGTTATATCTCAATATGATCGGCGTTTAGTGTTGTGTCGATGGTCCGACCCTCCGCTGCAACTGCGAAGCCGCTGGTCTCGGTTATTTTCGAACTGATGCGGTTGCTGCTAGTTGGTGTAAGCAGAAACAGTAAGTAGGCCAGGTGGTGACGAGTCGAACTAGAAGGTGGGCGCAATTCTGTACATTTAATGCAACCACATTAGATATACAGGTACATGTTATATGCTATATTCCTATTCGTAAGCTATACACTAAGACTAATTAAAAGCATTGTTAAATCTCAAAGCAATCGGCGTTTGTTGTTCTGTCGTTGGTCCGACCTTCTGCTGCCGCCCTGCATGTGCTGGGGGTGCTGGATTGGCTGCATCCTCGGCCGGTTGCGTTCCATGACGGAGCTGTCGCTGCGGCGCCGCTGGTCTCCGTTGTTCCCGAACGGATTTCGGTCGTACGGCTTGGCGCCGTGCAAACTGTGGCGAGCGTGGCGTGGAGGCGTTGCCTGAGATAGCGACTCCAGCAAGAACGGGTTGCGTAGGCGACTCTGGCTAAAGGATGGTGACTGCTTGGCTTTGTCGGCGCCCTGCTGCTTGATGGTCAACTTCTTCTTAAACAGTTCTAAGCCCTGATAGAGGTCCAGGGCGAAGGACACGGCGCACAGGCGCTGGTAGGTGACGAACCCAAAGTTCCTCTGCCGCCCCGTATTGTCCGTGGGTATCCGCACTCCCTCGATTGGTCCGGCTTGCAAAAAGACCTCGTAGAGGATCTCCTCTGTCACCCGCTCGTCAAGATTGCCGCAGAACAGCGTTCGCTGCTCCTCGTCCTCCTCCTCGGCGTCGTCCTCCACTTCGTCCAGTTCGCCGTTGACGGGAAACGGACAAAAGTGCTGCTGTTGTCCAGGGGCCATCCCGTATCCGTACCCATTTAGGTGGGGGGCGGCCATCATCATCGGCATGGCCGCCGCCGCACCGCTGTACATTTGCTGCATTAACACTTGCAAGTCCATTTCTCTCAGAAATAAATAAAATCACCACTTCGCTTATTTTGCAACTGGAGATGGGCAACAGTGAGTGTCATCCCCGATAGATTTCCAGTGTTGTCAAGCACCGTTCGGCAGTGGAGCAAAACGGTAAAGTGAATCTCTGGTTCCGGAGCAATGATTCCGAGTGGGGAGTAAGGACACTTTAAATTTGGCGCCCTTTAAAACTATTCCACTTATGAGGTGAAATTTAAATTTTCTTTCCGATGCAATAGAATCGCTGATAGCAGATACATTTTAATTAAGCGTCCCGCCTGCTGATGTTTCTGATTGTTGTCATTGCCATCGGTGCCGCTACTGATTGAGCTATTCCTGTAGTACAAGCTTTCCACACTTCATCTCGCATTCTCTCGGCGATATGAATCAAACCATCTATTTAGTTAGGGTCGCTGGCTGCCAGTACAAACAGAGCGTCACAAAATCAATTGAGAGGCGCGGAATTGCAAGTGCCCGACCACAATATACCCTCTACCAGTACGTAAATACAGTTTACGAAAATTGGAAACTAAAGAGGAATTTTCCGAAAGTAAAACCATCGATCACAAAAAAAAACCTACTAATATTGAAGAGTTTATATAAGGGATATATATGTATATCTTAAGAGAAGGGAAGAGAATGTTCCGGACTACATTGATTACGGAGTACGTTACACGAGCGTTATCAACGCCACTTGAGCTGATATTTTGCGTAGCGTTGCTCGCAACTTGTCAAATAAACTAGACCTCCACCAATAGAAACGCATACACATTTGTGGATTTAATACCTTTTAAACGAAGGTAGAAAAGGCAATTCGCCCAGAAGTTTTGGGGAATCTATTCAGTCGCCAATTGGCCTCGCAGAAACACAATCCACTATAGCAATGGGCGAAGTTCCGAAAGTCACCGACCTGGCACAGGTGATCGAGCCCCACCTGCCGGAGGGCTCTACTCTAGAATCGTATGCCAGTCGTTACCTAACTAAGCCCGGAGATAACTACGGGAGTATTATGTTGGCCGTACAGGCAAAAATTCGCAGTGCAGACGGTGCCACTCGGGAGCTGCCACTGATAGCCAAGCTGCCACCCCTCACCAACGACCTTTACTGGCAGATTTTCCAGCCCGAGCGGACCTGCATCACGGAGAACGCGGTCTATCAGTACCTATCACCCGAGCTGGACAAGCTGCAGCTACAGGCGGGTGTCCTGCCCGCTCTACTTTTCGATGGCTTCCCGCGATACTACGGCTCCCGCATCTCGCTCGATTCCCGGTCTTCAAAGGTGGACCGCGATGCCGTTCTCGTCCAGGAGAACGTCACGGTGCACGGCTACCAGCCGGGTAACAGGCACAGGGCGTACAATCTGGCGGAAACCATTCTCGTTCTGCACTACTTGGCCCAGTACCACGCCCTGCCCATCGCTCTGCGTCTGAAGAAGCCGCAGTTGTACGAGGAATATGTGCGACCCTTCTTCAAGAAGTTTGATATGAACACCAATATTGATCAGGCGGAGAGGGACCAAATGAACAATGAGCTTCTGAAGGACATTAAGGCGGCGACCAGTGATGAGAGCGACGTGAGTCGTATCAAGGAGCTGATGGCTATGTATGACGCCTTTCAAGCCGGCAAGGATGTGGACGATGGCCTCTTTACCACCCTTGTTCATGGAGACCTATGGATCAACAATATGATGCTGAAGTACGGTAAGGCAAATCAGTGCTCAGATCGGAACAAGTTATTAATGCTTTACAATGTGTTCCAGACGAACAGGGCACTCCAATCAAGGTGAAAATCGTTGACTTCCAAATCGCGCAGTACGGATCTTTGGTGCACGATATCATCTTTCTGCTATTTTCAAGTGTGGACGTAAATGTTTTGGAGGAGAACTATTACAATTTCCTGCGCATTTACTACGACGCCTTCATTCAGACTCTGAGTGTCGTGAATGTGGACACCAGCAACTATACATACGAGATGTAAGACTAGTTTTTGTCTATGTGGGAATACTTTAATGTCAATCTATGTATTTCAGATTTCTCGAAGAGGTGCAAAAAGTGGCACACTTTCAGCTGCCTCATGCCATCTTTATGATGAAGGTAATCCTGGCTGATAACAGCACGATTCCCGACGACTATAAAGACGTGGACTTTTCAGTGCTGTCCAAGAATACTGGAATTAAAACAATTGTGACGAAATTCGAGGCAATCTTACGACTGGCAAAAAAGTTTAACATTTTTTATTAATTTTATTTTGCTTAATAGCAAGTCACGAAAATAAATATTTGATTATTACGCGTTTCTTCACCTCTTCACAAATGCTCCCCACTCTTTGTTATCAAGAAACTAATTAACGCTGTGTTTGTGTGCTGATTTGAACAAGTCGCGTTGGACTCTTCGCAAGATTGTAGGCAAACATAGCCGGAGCTTCAGCAAACGTAACAGCATGGAGCTGCCCGAAATTCGCGATCTTTCCAAAGTGGTTGAACAACACTTATCGGGAGCCCGTCTCCTAAACTATCGCTCAAAAAGCCTGACGCAACCGGGCGACAACTACGGAAGCACTCTCTTGGCGATTCATGCGCAGCTGCAGCGACCCGACGGGCAGCTGTTGGAGAAGGAGCTAGTGGCCAAGGTGCCTCCGACAGACCCCAAGTACTGGCAGTTCTTTCAGCCCGAGCGGACATGCCTCACAGAGAACGCCGTCTACAAGATCTTGGCCCCTGCCCTGGCCCTCCTCCAGGACGAGGCTGGCATCCCTGCAGAGAGCCAATTCAAGGCATTTCCCCGCTATTACGGCTCACGCGAGTCCCTCGATCCTAGCTCCTCCAAGGTGGATCAGAACGCCGTGCTGGTGCTGGAGAATCTGCGCAGCCGGGGCTTCGTTCCCGGCCAGAGGCTGCAACCCTTCGACTTGCCCCACACGCTGTTTGCCCTCAGACATATGGCCGAGTTCCACGCCCTTCCTCTGGCACTGCGCCTTCTCAAGCCTGAGGTATTCCGCGAACAGGTGCGCCCCTTCTTTGAAAAGTTTGATTGGCATGCTGCGGCGCCCGAGTGGAAGGCAATAATGAAGGCAGAGACCCTCGAGGACATTCGACGAGCCACCAACAACGATACCAAACTGGTGGCCCATATTAGGGAGTTGTCTGACAAGTTCTTTGAGTTTTTGGCCACCGCCCCAGACAGACCCGATGGTCCGTTTTGCAGTATTATACACTGTGACTTCTGGACAAACAATCTGATGTTTCGTTACGGTCAGTATTACAGCTTACCTAGCCAAAAAGCTACCCCAAAAACATTACCTAATTCAAATAAAAACCAAAATTAAACAACACCTAACAGATTTGCAATTGGTATTTAAAAATTTAAAGATTTTGTTTCGTTGAATTTTTTTTACCGAAAACAAAAGAAAATTTTAAACATTAATAAAAAAAGGTGCATTTCAAATATCAATGAAATCAACAATGTAGTTCTCAAGTTATTGCATGATCAGTCGAAATTAAAATTTTTTTCCTTACATTGATAGAGAACAACCCATCTATTTATTTAATCTTTAGAGCCCTCTGGAACCCCCATCGACCTGAAAATAATCGACTTCCAGACGGCACAGTACGATTCCGTGGTGCATGACATAATCTCGTTTCTGTTATCAAGCGTTGATACGGCTATCTTAGAGATACACTTTGAACACATGTTGGAAGTCTACTACGAGGTGTTCGTGGGTTGTCTGCGCCGTGTGGGGGCGGATCTGGCTTGTCACACTAACAAAGCGTAAGGAGAGGTAAAAATGTGATTATGGTTGAGTGCTGATTGATCTCTGCTCCACAGGTTTCGAGCGGAAGTGAAGCGGGTGGCGTACATTCAAGTGCCCCACGCCATCTTCATGACGCGCTTCATTTTGGCAGACAATGCAGTCGGCGAGACAGCGGAAATCTGCGAGCTTTCGGATGTGCTGAAGAACCCGGGATCGGAGCGCATAAGCCGCAAACTGAGCCAGATTCTAAGTTTGGCCCAAAAGTTTGACATACTGTACTAGGGCAATAAATTGATTCCTAATGGTCAGCTCTAATTGACTAATGGGAATCTGATGGATAGGACTAATTGTTTTATTATTCTCCAAGCTGGGTTGGCCAACAGTAAGCCGATTCAATGGCCATCAGTCAAAGGGAACATGCGCGCTTCGTGGGGCACGGTGTTGACCATCACGGCTTGGATGGTACTGTTTAGGATTAGCGAGGTAAAGAGCAAGGAGGTCTGTATTCAAATAAAAGTCCCAAAGAAGTATTTACTTTATTTCAATGTTTTGGCTAGAGCTGCTATTACTTGAGGTTTACCTATGCTAATTGGACGGATGACAGACCTCGGTTCGTGGTGAACATGACTTTCTCGAACCAGACTGGCATCGGCTCTGTCACCACCATCAACGAGGAGATTGCCTCGCCCGTCTCCAGCATCCTGATCATCCAGCACTCCGTCCGGGAGAAACCTCGCACTATCTACAACGCCTCTACCAAGCTATGCGATCTCCAGAACGTTATCAATTCGGTGCCGCTCTTCAAGCCGGTCAAGGACAACATGCTCAAGCAAAGCAACTACTCGCTCAGCTGTCCGCTGGTCAAGGGCACCTACGCAATGAACAACATGCGGGTCAGCCCGAGGAACCCTCTTCTGAGCCTTCTGTACCAGCCCAAGCGCTCTTTCTCCGTCAAGGGCGGATTGTACGAGGAGCTGCCGCGAGGTGGGCGGCTTAGGCCGTTGTCCACCTATTTCCTGACAGGAAAGGTTGTGAAAAAGTCCTGTGGATCCAACGAATAAAGGATGGTATAAATAAAAAGGCAGATCTAAAACTGTATTTCCGGAGCACAAAGAATATCTTTCTGGCAGCCTATTAGTATACCACAAAATGTTGATTTCGTCGTAAGTATACTTTACTTTTTAAATGCTGACGCATAAACATTCCGTCTTATATGAAATAATAAGTTTAAGAAATAAATAAACGTAAGGTAATAAATACAAACGATAAAGGTAATAATAAACAATGATTATTGCTAATATTGGTAATACAGTCTCTATCCTGCCTTTAGGTAAATCATTGTTTTGTCTCATTTTATAAATGTATTTAAATAAAGCAATGACTTAAAAGCGATTTTGGGGTAGTGATGCATCCAGAAAACAGGAACATGTAGCTTGTATGTTTATTTTACGTCCCCCTCATATATTTAATGTCCTGAAATGCTGTGAAGTTTTCCAAACTAATTAATTGAAGCAAAGCCGGGCCAATATGGGGAGACTGCAGCTGTCAGAGTTTTTCTAGGTCTTCCCAAAAATTTCGGACTGACTAATGAGCAATAAATCGAGTTAAGGGAGATGGACAACGGGTGAACGAACTCAAATTGTGAATGTAAAATCGGTTCATATAATTTGACTGAATATTATGGGAAGAAAACAGAAATGTACAGTCTACCGTATAATCATTTAAGTCCGATGCAAGCTGGGTAAACAACTACCAGTAAAATTTGCTCGCTTATCGAAAAGCCCCTATCAACCAACTTGCACAAAAACAAAGTCTTTGCCCTTTTGTTTACTCAACTCTGTAATCTCCGGCTATTCTCATCCATTTATATATGTATTCTCATCCATTTATATATGTATTCCCATCCATTTTTATACATACATATATCAAACTTTAGCATAGCCCATCGATTCTAATCTCATTTGTCAAAAAAGCGGGTCACTTAACAGATAGCATGGAGACGTAATCGCAGTTTTGAAATAAAAAACTAATTCATAATAATTACGAATTAAAATAATGCGCAATGAGTATGAGTGTATACCACAGAAGACGACCTTTGGCTGAGTCTACGTATGTCCGTCATCGGTGCGGCTGCGTCGATTATCTCAGGATCGGGGGACTGAACTTTGTCTGGTTCGATGCGCCAAAAAAGCCAAAGAACAGATCGCAGATCACTTGGTAGACGCGTGTGGGGCGATGACGCAAATATTGCGACTCGCGAGCGCTGGCAGACAAAGAAAGTGAATTTGGAGATGGCTAAATAAAAGTAGGGAAAGGAATCGGGCCAATAAATTATGTGGGGAATATTTTTGGCCACTCTGGAAAATCGGGGGAGATCACGCAGTCGGACCTCGCTCTCGGGTGATTCAATTGGTCGTTCCAGACTTTCCAATGCTCTGCAGATTAAATATAGCCGCCCATCACGACCAAAATATGGGGAATGGCGTGGGCACCGTAAAATTAGATAAATAGGCCAGATAAAAGACAGTACTTGTTGGTTGTCTGTGTGGGCGAACGACCGCCACGATATCGACACGCGCCAAAGATAAAAAGGAGGAATTGCTCGCTGCAAGCAAACATCACTTGTGAGCCGCAACAAAGCGTACGTGACCGATTAATTGCTGGACATCGGTCACAGGACATACCCATGTTTATATCTGGCGGCAGTTGACAGGTTTTATAATCGCCCAGAGTGCTGGCCATATATATTTGATCGAGCCATCAATTATGAGTGCCCCGACTATAAGTAGCGCCATAAAGCGTAATCTCAACAAGCAGTTGGTTCGGTCCAATTGAAACAACACACATAAAAATAAACAGTGCCCCCAGCAACGATTACTTCACCTGCAGCTCCATAAACAGGTTTGCTCTGTTTTTCTGCCTTTTTATTGCGCCTGTGACGTGTTCTCCCAGTACTGTAGCAGTAAGTCCGGTGTTATCAGTAGTATTTCACTCTTTCCCCGGCACAAGGGCGTATGGGACCCAGTTCTTGACCCAGTTTCGCTTTATGGAAATTTTAATTCGCGACTGCCGATGCAAGAATCGATCGCTGGCGGACTTTCTTCTTGGTCTCACTGTAGACAGTGCGACGGGGACTAGGAAATCACGCTTCGCATCCGTGTCTCTTCGCCCCATTCTTAGTGAGTGTTTATATTTATCTGTTTATAAATTCAGGGGTGTATGTGAAAAGATTCCCTCGCCTTTTGCGACACCGACACATTGATAACATCAATTAAATTTAAAAAGCATTTCCCTCTGCGCAGCGACGTATTTTTCTTTCACCATCCACAGCTGGTATGATTTATGGCCCAATGATAAGGGGACCCAGCCGGAGCCATTCTATTGACCGAGTTAAATGGCAAGCTGGCAAAGGTAGTGGCAAACGTTGGTCAAGCCTCTGCGGCCGGAAGTCCGAATTCGTAACCTTACTGTCTTATCAGCTAGCTCGAACTTTAAACGCCTCTCGTATAAACTTTTTATTAAATTATGAGCTAATGTTAAGTGTACCGTGACTCGGCCTTTTTTACTAGTATGCAAATCATATTGGTTACATAATATTAATTCAGACGACAGCTTAGTCCGTTATACTAATATCAAATATTATTAAACTCCAATATCACGCTGCTGAAGAACTGTTTATAGAGCTCACTTATCGCTAGTTTTTTAATCAGATGTCCAGCTTATCATTCCATTTTATGCAAATCGCCTGATCTAAGGCAGCATAACTGGATCTCCTCAGACCTGCATTGTAAGATGTTGACATCTTCGAACTCGTTTCATGCATACCAATGAACCTGCTTCAGTCCATTAATGATCTGGTCTATAGGCGGCGGTGCGGAACTCTTAAGTTCTGCGGCCATAACAAGCTGGTGTATTGATTTTGATTATTTATGTGATTTTATAATCTACTATCTACCTTTCGGAATCTCATGTTGCAATGAAAACGGGTATGTTAGATATTGGTTTCGAAATTGGGCATAGGAATGCTCCGCAACATTATGGATTTATTATCTTCGGACAACGGGTGATCCCTTGGTCCACAGATTTTACTTGCTTGGGCCAACTATTTGTGTGTACTTAACTATATTTTAACAAACCGGATCACAAGCTTTCGACCCCATTACAGTTGCATGTCCCGTAATCCGTAATCCGTATTTCGCGCCCAGCAGAGCCTCGACACAAAAGCAGCGCAAACTGCACCTTAGAGTGTCAACAACCATGCCAAAGTTCACTCACAAAAAATTAACACTCTTTTTATTAAATTCAATAAAAAATTTGTGTGAAAAATTTGAAAGTGTTTTTTTTTTCTTTTGAGATTGCACAATCCAAATTATGTTTCAAAAAAAGGGTAAACTTTTTTTTTAAACACACCCTAACTTTAAAAAAAAAAAAACAAGAATGCCTTTTAAGGTGTAAACTAATTTACAATTTATCCGTCAAAATACAGATGGTCCGTTTTTAAAAATTTTAAATATCTACCCTAAGTCAAAAGTCGGTGGATTTTGACAAAGTTAGGATACATTTTTTAAGAGTGTGGATGAAGTGTTTTGAAATACAAGTATGCGGAAGGCAGTGCAAATGAGTTCACAGGCACTCTAGGAGCGATTGAGTTCACAGCACTGGTCAATCAATATTTGATTGCAATGGCTTGTGATCGAGTGTCATAAGTCGAGTGCAATTCCCCTGCTTATCATCGATATTGTGCGTAGCCAGCATATCTTACATTGCAAGTGTATCTTAAATGTAAGGGTATGCAGCATACACATCCTCTTTGCGAACCGCAAGCATTAATCTTCGAAAACTTTCAGTGTCAGGCAGCTGGCGATGGTGGAAAACTTTCCATTAAAAACAAGGTCTTGCTTCTGATCGTTTTCGTGCCCCCTGTACATGTATTTACAAACAAGCTGTTCTATATTTTAAAATTCTGCTTTTAACAATGATTGCAGCGATACGCGTTTGAAAGCTTGCCAAAAAAAAGAGGAAATAAAATAGACTTTAGTAATGCGTTTTGTTTTGTTTACAACTTTGCTTTTACTCGAAATGTTTATTTGAATCGCATTGGAATTCTTAATTTTCAGGGTGCTTGTACTAGAGAGACATTTATAATATAAGTACATATAGAACGATGTAAATACTTGCGAACAGTGATATGCGACAGATCTGACGTGTCTTATATTTTTTATATGTTTTAAAATTATACTCAACAACTTCTAGATATATAGCAATTTGTGTTTCATATGTATGTGCGTGAGGATATGAATGATCAATATAGATTTAGACAAATTTCCGTGATGTTTTTCTCTTAAACGTTCCATTTGGAAACCGTGGCGAGTCAATCAAGTAACAAGTGAGGTAAAAACATTAAAGTCGACAAATCGTGTTGGCCAAAAGGTCCGCCAAATCCAAATTATTTTTGGTTTAACTAAAGGTAGCGCAATTACGTAGAGACATGTTATTTATTATTAAGATTAAAGCAACGATAAGGTATACATAACTTGTAAAATATTTATGGCAGAATATTCTAGGGGCCCCCATCGGTCTTAGGTTCAATTTTCGTTCCGGTTCTGTTCTTCTTGCCTCCCACCCACATTCTTAAATGCTAATCGCACGCTACTCGTGCCTCGCCCTCCTGTCTTTTTTGCACTAGCAAACAAAATTTCGCTCCACTTGAATCGAGAGGTAGCCAAATGATCGGATACGCCTTGAAGTTCAATAACATACTATGTACAAAATATTTGACGCTCATTCATCCTAAGCTGCCTACTCGTTGAGCAGACAGGTGCGGACGATGGCCCCACACACAGCGTAGGGATCGCAGTTAGAGCTGGGCCGCCGGTCCTCGAAGTACCCTTTGCCGGCTGTCGCCACGCCACGCGGCACCCTCACACTCACCGCCCGGTTGGCCACGCCCCACGAGAACTTGTCGATGCTGGAGGTCTCGAGGCGACCCACCAGGCGTCTCTCGTTGTCCTTGCCCTCCTTAGGGTCGTAGGCCTTGATGTGGCGCTCATGGTGTTTGCTCAGCTTCTCTATGGCCTCCTCGATGGCCTTAATGCCGCCCTCGGCGCGCATTGCCTTAGTGGAGAAGTTGGTGTGGGCGCCGGCTCCGTTCCACTGGCCCTCCATCGGCTTGGGGTCGAAGGTCACCACCACGCCGTACTCCTCGGCGATGCGCTGTAGGATGTAGCGCGACACCCACAAATCGTCGCTGGCTTTCAGGCCACTGCTTGGACCAACCTGATATTCCCACTGGGCGGGCATCACTTCTGCATTGGTGCCGGCAAAATCAATTCCGGAGTACAGGCAGGCAACGGCATGGGCCTCCACGAGGTCGCGGGCGTAGACGCGGTCGGCGCCCACTCCGCAGTAATAGGGTCCTTGCGGGGCCGGAAAGCCGTTTTCCGGCCAGCCGAAGGGACGTCCGTCCACGTCCAGCAGCGTGTACTCCTGCTCGATGCCGAACCAAGGCTCCTGCTCGCCGATCCTGTCGACTCCCGCCTGGAAGGCTGCGCGCTTGTTGGAGGCCGTTGGCTTGCCGTCAGCGCTGTAGGTGTCGCACAGGACGATCACGTCGTTCTTGCCGGGCTTGAAGGGATCGCGGTAAATGGCGCGCGGCTTGAGTGTGGTGTCCGAGTTCTCGCCGTGGGCCTGGTAGGTGGAGCTGCCATCGTACTGCCAGTCTGGCAGATCCTCCACGGAGCTTGGCACCTTGTCCAGGACGCGATCCTTCAAGCGTATATTTTCGCCGGTGCCGTCGATCCAGAGGTAAGTGGCCTGCACTCGATTGGCGGGCGTCTCCAGGTTGCGGTACCGTTGCAGGATGCTCTTGTCCAGCGCCGTGTTGGGCGAGTTGGCCAAGAACTGGGAGCGGGCCGTGTTGGCGGTGCGCAGTAGACGCAGCTGCTGCGTTGCAGGAGCCACTAGGTTCGCCTTCACGAAAAGTCCGGCCACGCGGAAAGCCATGTTGGTCCTTGATGGGAAGGACAAAAGGACACGGTTAGTTGTGTATTGGTCGCGACTGCGAGGACGTGCGCAGCAGCTCAAGGATGCTGGCACTCTTCACTCTGCTTTTCGCACGTATTTTTATGTAATTATTTTTCCTGCAATTGCTTCTCTGGGCGATTGTGTGAGTGGGTGATTTTCCAGTTCAGTGGCGGTGTTCCGTCAAACTTACCCTGAACTGCTCGTTTGTCCACTTTACAGTTATGTGATTTGCTAAGTAGTCGCTGACTGGGCAGGTCTTTTGGGGATTTTCGGATTGCGGGACTTTCGGTTTCTGTTTCTGATTCCGTAAGTGACTGCGGAGCGATTGCTGAGGACACCCGTCCAATACGAGGTTTGGCAGGCTTGTGAGCGCAGTTAGCACGACAACATTCACTTTTTTTCGTTTCGATTCACTTTGTTCCGTCCTCCGCCTCGGGTTTTCTTTATCTTGACGTTGGCCGCTCCGACGCCGACGCAGACGCAGTCAGGGGAGGAGGCCTCTCAGAGAGTGCCCGAGCCGCAACAGACAACGGAACGGAGTGGAACCCACAATGGCACACGGTCCCCCAAGGAGCATCTCTCTGAGGGAAAAGCGAGGCGACCCAGAATGTTTCAAGGCTACGCGATTAGGCAAAATCCCCTATTACTGGTCCCCATGTAATACGTTCATTGATGCGCTTCGGGGCACATACTTACGTACGAACGGCCTAGCAAAACAACGTTTTTAAATTTCTCATAACAGAACACCTGCGCGATAAGGTGCAATGCAAACGAAAGACCTACGAAGGCCCCATATATTGAGGTTAATATTGTTTAAAGAGTGTGAGAGTGTTTTGGTAGCACTGTTCGATTCCTCAAAAATAGCATTGTATAGAAAATATCTACCTAGTTTTTTTATGAGAATACTGTAGACTGTTATAGCTTATAATGATATTTAGACATGACATTTACAATCTTTTGAACTGAGAACAAGAATTACAAAGTTTACATTTCTGAAACATTTAAGTTATTTAATTTAGCAAATGATTTATAATTTTAATATATTTTATGAATATTTTTGTATAGTTTGGGGCGTTGCCTATTCATATTGTCTAAACATAATTCGCGCCTTATGACTTTCTCCCTCTGTTATTCCAGGTTCCATATTACAGCATCACAACAGCATTAACACAACATTGGATCCATGAACTACTTGCAGTTGTAAGAGAGAGCATGCGCTCACTCTCTCCGTCAATCGCAATCTCTTCCTTGCAACCACCACCACTATGCTCTCTGGCTGATTGTTTTGGATACACGCCTGGTACAAAGTTCATCATGTACATTTTAATAAAGCCGATGCAAACAAAAGCGTATCAGCTGTTATTGTGGATAATGCATTATTAACCGCACATACAGTGCCCAGTTGGAATCAATACTGATTGGTTTAGGTCATTCCAACAGGAAATCCCCGATAGCTATTGACTGGTTTACAGTCTTGACATATCTATGATAACTTCGTATTACAGATTGGACCATAAAAACAGATAAAGAAGACCCTATTAAATCTAGGGTGCAAGAGTTTCCCTTTTCCCGATAGGCATAGTAAATTGGGAGTGCCGGCACAAAGTATTGTCTGCTTTTAGGCATTGGAAATTTAATAATTAAATTAAGTTTAAAGTTGCCTTGTATATGAGATGTAAATTTGGATCTAGTTTTGGGATAGGTATTTTAACGACTTCGGCTTAAAAGAAAATTTGTCAATATGGGACTTGGACAACATTCAACCCACCCATACACATTTGGGTGGGTGCTGCCGCAGTGCAACAATTGGCAAGTTCTCCGCCGGAAAGCAGAGTGGCGGGAAAACAAGCTTTTTGTTTTGGTCGGCTGACATAACTTTGGCCGAGCTTCAGGTTGCCATAAACAAAGAAAAAAAGCAAAAAAGAATTAAGTTGTATATAGAGACGAGTGAATTTCCACCATGGCTGCAACGACTGCCTCACTCGTAGATACTCGTACTACGCTTTTCCAGTTGTGTGACATCGCTTCCACTGGATGGCCGGCTTTAGTTTTCTTTCGCAAGTTTTCCTCTCGGCAGCGTGCATATTTAAATGCGGTGTGGCACGGACAAGTCTAAAAAATCGCAAATTTTTATATTCGGCTTCGTTTTGGACTGCCTCTATTGGCATTACGGCTTGCGATTTGGCTTTTTTGCGAAGGCCACTTGTTGCTCCGAGGCAGCAGTTTCATAGGCTTCGGCGGGTTTTAAGACCGGCACCATGAACATGTACAGTTGGAAGCAGTTTTTGGAAAACAATAACCTGTAAGTAGTCGAACCAGGCGGGCTTTCAAGCAAAATGCACCAAACCCAATTCCCACAACTACCAGCGATCTTATTTAATAACATCGCAATGATTTGAATAATCCCTAGATTCAGACAATTTTACGTCAATAGTCATGAAGAAACAATGTCGGTGGAAATTCATGAATTTAGCATAACAGGAAACACCTTTTGCTCTGGGCCAGCCACAGAAACTAGTCCAGGAAAAATCACGTTAATAGGGGTTTGCGCTAAGAAAATGCGTCATTTGTGCATCCAGTTCGCTTTTCACTTGGAATCGAGTAAAAAAACCGGTTTAGCTTTAGCTTTTGCAACGCTCTTGCTTATACTCTGAGTGCAATTTGTTGGGCCCGATCAGCTTGGGAAAATACAAATAGCTTGTTACTTTTTGATAACACTTCTCACCCCATCTTATGTGATTAAATTTCAATATATAATGTCTCATTTTGGTAATAACTCGTTCAACGAAAGACATTTCTGTTAATTTATGCCCCAAATAAGTTATTGGAGCCAAGTTCTAAGGACCTCCCACGCCCCAGTAAATAAGGCGCTTCAAATGACCTCATGCCATATAAAAAGAAAGAACTGGTGACATACCCACGTCGCACAAGTTGACCATTAAAAGCACTTATATTTTCTAACTTATTGTGGAGGACGGTTGGAATTTCGTGCTATTTTGGCGCACAATTCTTTAAACGCCGAGGAGTATTGTTATAACAGAGCACCTTTTGAAGAATAATGAAACCCATTAAATTGTGTTTCCGTAAAACACTAAATGGTACCAAAGTACAACCCCTTTATCGACTCCTATCAGCTATAGATTGACAGCAGATAAGCCCCCACCAAAACTCATGAGTCATGAGAAGGGTCTAGGCCATGAATTTAAATTTATTATTTTATTTTATTAATAGTTCGTGCACCTTAGCTGCCTAGAGTTTATTACATTTCGACTGCGAATCGGATTCAAACAGAATGTTATCAAACGCTGATAGGATTATCGACTGGCTAATTAACATTGTCCACAAGACTAGTGCGATATCAGTTCTCTTCGGCAGGAAATAGTTACTACACAAAATGTACGAGGCTTTTCCCAGATTCTCCTGAGATTCTCTCAAAGGTGTGCTCCCCAGAGGCAGACAGACTCTCTACCGCCCCATTGCCTCTCTAGAATCCAAACCAGAACTGGGGCCTCTGCTGCCGTCCCACTCTGGCCAACGATGTCAGAGCTCTGGGCAGCGAGTGTGTTTGCGATGGCACTCTCTGCCAGCGGTTGCTTAAATTTCTGGCTTTGTTCCACTGGCGCGCAATTGCTTATTTCAGTTGCGATCGCGGCGCGAGCGAGTCAAGTCCTAACATTCAAGAAGCGGGAGTTCCGTTTCGAACAGACGGGTGGAAAATTTCTCTCACCGGACCACACGGTGGTGGAATCGAGAACGTAAACGTAAACCCAAACGCAAACGAAGGGCAGCGGGGCTGCAGTATTGCTGTCAGTGCCAAAGTTTACAACGAATACACAAAGCACAGAGTAGAGTGGTGCATTTTGCTTTTTTAACCCCTACTGGTTGACTAATTGACAAGATGACTAAAAACGATAATGCAAATCTGTTAAACGACAACAGGCTGGGTACCGCCGGAGCGGGCCAGCCAAAGGCCCAGATAGTGCCCGCCCAGCCCAAGACCTTGCAGCACCTGCCCAAGCGGCCGGCGGTGGACCTGGCCTTTCACAACCTTACGTACCGCGTCAAGGAAGGAAACCGGAGCAGTAAGTACCCATTGCTTGGCACAACTTGGCCCCTCGAGAACGGGAGCGTGAACTGCACGCGCCTGCTCACTCTCGCGATGTTTTCGCTTTCTTTGTGCTGGGGCTCCGAGAACTGTGTAGTGCGACCCCACATGGGCCAATTGGGAGCTCCATCTTGCTAGCGCTTTATTGCCATTACGCACTTTCCTGGCTCTAGCGGGTTTTACTTGTTTGCTTTAGCTGCGCTTCACGTCGTGCTGGTTTCAGGTTTCTTTGTTCTTTTGAGAGCAATGTCTCAGTATCACCGTTGCCACACAGCGAGCGACGGGGAGAACTTTGGATTGTAACGCCGAGTAACCCGTTGTTGTCCCATCAGATTTTTTTCCACAGTTTCACAAGGGCGGTTGGTGGCCAAAGTTCACTGCCTTCCACAGCGATAAGCCGTTCCAAATACATCTATATTAACGTCCAGTAGTCGCAGGGTAACTGCCCATACAAACGATTTTCGCCAGTGGGACAGTCAACAAGTTAACTTGATGCTTCGGCATCTGGAATGCGAGCCATGTACTCGGACTTCTCTCTGTATTCACGTCAGTGTGTATCCACTTTTAGGCATGGGTGGAGCAGAACGGGGGTTTGTTTGGATCTGGCGCTGTTAATGAGCAAACATTGTACGTTCGCTTGCCGGAGTGAGAGGTTTTTTCTAGTTTGAGTTCTTGTTTGCTGGCGACGGTTGTGCTTGTTGTGTTAGCAGGGCGATTAGGGTTTAGTCATAACCAGATAGCTATTAATGGTGTGGTACGGCGGGCCTAGGCACCCCACTTACATGACGTGGAAATGAACCCTGTCCGCGGGAGTGGCCGCTTGGGGCCATTTCGAATTCGTAAATATGGGACGGCGATAATATTCCCAATAATTGGGTATTCGGCAGCCACATCTGCCTTGTTCCCAGGTATCCGACAATCAATAAAAAGCTCACTCACCAACCCACTTCCCTCGTGTTGAATCGGACTGCTGGACTTGCCTCCGACGCAGTTGAGTAGAGGCAAGGACAACCACTCTACAACGGGTCGGTGGATCCCGGCTGAATCTGAAAAACGGTCAGAGCCTGTTGTTAAGCTTAAGGTCGCTGCGAACGAGCTGTCCCGGCCAAGTGCAAAAGTAATTGGAAGCGGCAGCGGACTGAACTTTGCACAGGCGCGATTTGCCATAAGATTCAAAGGTCGGCCATCCGACTCAATTAAGTCGTTCAGAATATGCGAACATACAGACGTATTTACACTGGCAAATAAGTGCCGAAAGACTTGCAGATGGCACGGTGCCTTCAGATACGTGCTAAGTTTGTGGGCTACAAATGTATACAAAATAAAGCAGAAGTGGCAGTAAGGCAACCGCTGGAATTCGCTGTTTTTGGCTAGCTAACTTTGCGTCTTTTAAGTAAACAAAGAGGCAGAGGCGGCTACCTGCCAGCGTTCTCAGATGCTCAGGTATAAGTGCCCCTGGAAGAGCGAGTCTGGAGAGTAGAAAAAGAGCGACTGCAGTGCCCTTGGGGCTTCTTTTGCGCAATCTTTTGTTGGGCAATCTGAATGGCAGCACTTGTTGTCCAATCCGGCCATAAACATCATAGCTACGGCTTGGCCTTAGCGTCGTTGGAGTAACGTTTGTCAAGCGTGGCCCCAGTTTTGGTGCTATTACAGCCGACATTTAAGCAAGTACCGACTATATTCACTCTGTGGTTCAATGCGAGCCGTTGCGAAACTAGTGGTTACGACTACGACTACGACTAGCTAATCGCCATCTGACAGATGGGGTTCACTGTCAGTTTCGATGTGCGACGCATTAGGTAAGCGGTCGAATTAAACAACTACAGTCGCTGCACGGGCATATTAAATCTCAAGTTTCACTTCTGAACAGGTCACGGTACTTTACTATTCGGAGTTATGACACGCCTAAATTGAAGTATTTTGAAATAGTCGGTTAAAGAAACTTTAAAGATCAGTTTTAACTCCGCTGCCCCACAAACATAAACTCAAATCGTAAAACCACGCGATCTTCGTCTTCCACAATTTTATTTCGCTGAAATGGTTATTCCATCTTCTGGCAAGACTAAAAGCCGGCACAAAACGCGCGTGCCTGCAAGAAAACGGGTTTATTAGCATTTTCCGTAAAGCACAGATGGTTTGCCGTGCAAATCTATTGGTTCATGGGTATGTGATGTTGATAAGCCACTTCCGCATCTGAGCAGTTCCATTTAGACCATATGCGCGAATTTACCGAATCTGAAAGCGATGTGAAAGAATTATAGTCTTTTGGTTCCCATTGTTCCGCCGGATGTGATGAAGCTCTCTGTTTGTTGTAATCTAATTCAAAATAATTGGTATCAAAATAGGTTCGTAAGTCTCCTTAAAAAACATGTTTAGCAGTTTTAAGAAGCTCGAATGGCTGTGGAGGTGGAAGACGAAAAATTCAGTGTGGTCAATGACCGGGCTATGCCGTTGGATTGAGAGACTTTGCAAATTTGTTTATCTATCGGCTCTACACTTGCTCGTCCAAAGACCAATGCAGCCACCGCTTTTTTTGATAGTTTCTACGGAGCCGCAGTGAAGTGGAGGCACTTGGGTTCAATGACGTAAGACACATTAAAACGCCAACTATTTTTAGCTTTAACGAGAGATTGGCCCAATCACTAATTTCATGTCTTTATAACAGATGCCAAGACCATTCTGAAGGGTGTCAGTGGACGCCTCCGGTCGGGAGAGCTCACCGCCATAATGGGACCATCAGGCGCTGGCAAGAGTACGCTGCTCAATATTTTGTCCGGCTACAAGTAAGTTTAACTGGGCCTGATAATTTGCATTCACCTCAAGAGATTCTGAAATTCGAATCACCAAATCTGACCTTGGGACGGCACAACGAGTGCGAGTGCATGTATTTATTAGCTAGCGCTATTATCAACAGAAATAATTGCGACTTGATAAGCACTCTGCCTCTTTCGGAGCTTGAACCGCCGACCTTTTCGCACTCTGCGTTCATTGTTATTATATTATTTATGCGCGACATATACTGATACGATACGCAGCGACTTCCCTTAACCAGACCTATCTTTATTCGTTTATTAAACCCGCTAAATTTTGCTGTATTGCGTAATAATCATAAACATTTCAATTAGCCTGTCCAGTTGTTACTGTTGTTACCAAGAGTGGTCAGCTGCTCGCTCAGAATCGATAACTGCGGTTGAATGAATCGTAGGAAATCTATTTTTCGTAATATATCGTACCAAAGTATTATCAGCGCTTCGTTTTTGCTATTTCTTTACACACCGTCACAAAAGCGTTGTCGCCGTGTTTTATTAGTTTAAATACGCTACAAGTTTGCTGAACTTCGGACTCGAGTTGCCCGATCGCGTGCAAATATATATACTTCGTATATCAAATAAGTGTTCCGTATACAAGGGAATGTAGATATGGGCTAGTCCGATTATTTACCATTAATTTTCCCGTGATAACCGTATGAGCAAGCAATTTCCCGATCTTGTCAAAAAAAAAATGGTAAGCTGACTCAGTCCTTTTCTATCGACAGGATATTATTTCGGAGGGCATACAATAACTGACACTTTTTATTTATTTGCGCCCACAGAACCTCGAGCATCGAAGGCAGCGTCACCATGAACGGCGCCGAGCGCAATCTCAGCGCTTTCCGCAAACTGTCCGCCTACATCATGCAGGACAATCAGCTCCATGGAAACCTGACGGTCCAGGAAGCGATGACTGTGGCGACGAATCTAAAGCTCAGCAAGAAGTTTTCGAAGCCCGAGAAGCATTCAATGGTAAGTCGATAAGGGACTGAGGCAGAGACAGACTGAAAAATCAGAATGGCAATTATACAAGGTTAATCTTAGCTCCCTGGTCAAATGACAAGTTTATTTTTAGCTTAATATATTTAGACAGAACTAGTTCTGAGTGCCATTTTTCGCCATGAGAGACTAGCAAGTCATCGCACCCATACCAAATCAAAATAAAAATGACTTCCCCCCTGCTTCCAGATTGATGACATCTTGCTGACTCTCAGCCTGAGCGAGCACCGCTACACGATGACGCGCAATCTGTCCGGCGGCCAGAAGAAGCGTCTCTCAATCGCCCTGGAGCTGGTCAGCAATCCGCCTATAATGTTCTTTGACGAACCCACCTCCGGCCTTGACAGCTCAACCTGCTTCCAGTGCATCCATCTTTTGAAGATGCTGGCCGCCGGCGGACGCACTGTCATCTGTACCATCCATCAGCCCTCCGCTCGTCTTTTCGAGATGTTCGACCAGCTGTACACTCTGGCAGATGGTCAGTGCGTCTACCAAGGCAGCACCAAGCAACTGGTGCCCTTTTTATCGACGCTGAATCTTGAGTGTCCTAGCTACCACAACCCAGCGAGCTACGTGATCGAGGTGTCTTGCGGAGAGCACGGCGACCACACGCGCAAACTGGTCGACGCCATCGACAACGGCAAGCGGGACATCCGCTTGTCGGCCGACTATGCCGGGCTGAAGGCTCGGAACGATCTGGTTAAGGTTCAGAACTTGAAGGCCATTTTAGACAAGAACGACGCTTCGAACGTCAGCGGCAGCAAGTACGAGGATAACCTCACCCTAAACAACGGCTTGCTCAACGGCATGGTCAACGATATTGTGAAGGAGGGCAACGCGAGCAGCGCTCTGGTTTCCACCAACGAAAAGGGAGATGCCCTTATCGACGTAGAGAAGTCCGTCAACTGTACAACCGCTCTGCTCACGGAGGAGATCACATCGCCGGAGCGCTACCCGACGTCACAGTTCCACCAGTTCTGGGTGGTTCTTAAGCGAACTCTGCTTTTCAGCTACCGCGATTGGGTAAGTCAAATGTTTGAAGTAACTTATTCGTTGATTCAAAACTCTGTTTGCCTTTTCTATAGACACTTATGTATCTGCGATTATTTGCCCATCTCTTGGTTGGATTCCTGATTGGCGCCCTCTACTATGACATCGGCAATGATGGAGCTAAAGTTCTGAGCAACCTGGGATTCCTGTTCTTTAACATGCTGTTCCTTATGTACACGTCTATGACCATTACGATCCTGTCGTGTAAGAGAAACTAGATTATTAATTATAGTTCTTTAAATAATTTGGTTATCCTGCTTAGTTCCGCTCGAGATGCCGGTTTTGTTGAAGGAAAACTTTAATCGTTGGTATTCGTTAAAGTCTTACTATCTGGCTATATCAGTGGCGGATTTACCATTTCAAGTGAGTTCTACCCCGATGTTTATAGAAGCCACTAAACCGGCTAACTGATACCTTTCTTCTCCAGGCAATTTTCTGCGTCATATACGTGTCCATCGTATATTACTTCACGTCGCAGCCCTGGGAGCTCTTCCGCTTCTCCATGTTCTTGTCGGCTTGCCTGCTTATCTCGTTCGTGGCTCAGTCCGTGGGGCTGGTGGTTGGCGCCGCTATGAATGTGCAGAACGGTGTCTTCTTGGCCCCGGTCATGTCCGTGCCCTTCCTGCTGTTCTCCGGCTTCTTTGTCTCATTCGACGCCATACCAGTATATTTAAGGTGGATCACATATCTTTCGTACATCCGATACGGATTCGAGGGCACTGCTCTGGCGACCTATGGGTATGGGCGGGAAAAGCTGAGGTGCTTTCAGACCTACTGCCACTTTAAATCACCCACTACGACGCTGGAAGAACTGGACATGGTTAATGCCAACTTTACCTTGGACATTGTGGCCCTTATCGTGATCTTCGTGGTGCTGCGCATCTCTGCGTACCTATTCTTGCGCTGGAAGCTGAAGACTGTGCGCTAGGCATTAAAGCGCAGTGGGTTGTATTCGGTTATAAAAGCTTTCTATGTACCTATTATTTAGTTTTCAAAGAGTCTTGGTTTCTTAATAATTAATCTTTGTAACATTTATTTTTTCCTAGTTTTTAGTTGTGAAAATCACGTTTAGGTGGATAAAAACGCCAACCTCACGTTAGCATGATTCCAGCTGCAGGTGAAGCAAAACCTTAAAACAATTGATCAAACCAAATCACTGCAAGCACAACAACTTCGATGTTAGAAATGTATAGAAAAATAAGTTATTAAACATCCACTTTTTTGCCAAAAAAAATATATACATTTGTATATATTTTCAGATGTATTTAACAATTGTTTTGTAAATGTTTGTGAATAATAACACAAATTTGGCGTATCTACACCAAAATTGAAAGGAATGAAATCCCTGTAAAATACACATATTTGAATTCAAGGTACTAAAGGCCTACTTTTAATTAATTATACTAACTTTTTAATACAGGTTTACAACTCCAAATGGTATTTAAGTGTCTGCAACATATACATATTTTATAATCACATTTGTATTTATAAATAGTGCATTCTTGAAGGAAATAAAAAATTATACACAAATGACTATTTTTATGTGTTCAAAAACGGCACTTATAACTTTTTTTTAAAGAAATCAAAGTTTAAATCTTCCTTTTTCATTTTCAAATTTTCGAAAAATGGCTTTGCAGAAAAGGGTCTTAAAACTACACAACCCACAACTTTTCTTACAGATATCGAATTTTTAAATAGCATACTGCTTGAACTTTGTGGTTAAATTCTCTAAAAAGCTGTGTTTAAATTTTGGTTTTTGGGTCGATTTTCCATCATTTTTTTAATGCAGTTCTGATCCCACATCTTTTCTTACAGATATCGGAAGTCAAAGTGGCTAAATAAATGTTGTTTAACTCTTTTAATATGTGTTTAATTTTTGCTTTGTATTTTTGGGTGGATTTTCCGTCATGGCTTTGCAGAAAAGTGTCCAAAGGCTGCACCTCTGAGCCCATAACTTTTCTTACAGATATCGGATTTCAAAGTGGCATACTGCTAAATAATTCTGGTTCAATTCTCTAAATATCTGTGTTTAAGTCTTGGTTTGTATTTTTGGGTCTATTTTCCGTCATTTTTATAATTAAACTCCTTTCCCAATTTTCGAAAAATGGCTTTGCAGAAAAGTGTCCAAAAGCTGCAGTTTTGAGCCCATAACTTTTCTTACAGATACTGTATTTCAAAGTGGCATACTGGTAAATTATTGTATTAAATCTTGAAATGCATGGGTAGGCAAAAAGCTTAAATACTATCCTGAAGATTTTAAAAATTGCAGTTGCTTAGTCGATTATTGCATCATTTTTCGTCACAAAATTGGAAATCAGAAATGTTCTATGTTGAAGGGTCGATCGTGACGATTTTCATTTACTTCATTTAGAGGTGATTTGGTTTTATTGTGGTATCCCACGGAGGCCTAGTCTAGGTTTCTAGCTCAATTTTGAATCAAAAGTTGTCCTAATTGATTAGGGTACATTTTTAAGAAACCGATTTCTCTTGGTGGTAAGGATCGTAAATTAGAGTATTAGCTAAATTTCTTGCAACAAAATTAGTTTACGATATATTTTAAATAAACGTCCCATTTTCCCAAAGATACATAGTTCTGATTTGTGGATATTTGCGCGGCCAAAAACTACCTTTTTTTCTATGGGCTAAAATCTCCGCAAGTAGAGTCGGTATAAATAGACTGCACATATCCTGTTGCAACGGATTGCAAGCCAGTAAAACAAGTTTTTTTAAGCACAGCAGCGAAGGAACCAAGCCTTTGCTTCTCTGCCTAGAAGGGCAAAAGAATTCGTATATTGGCCGGGCACCTAGCTTCGCTCACTTGTCACTAGCAGCAGCATTCTTCCTGCGCTCGCTTTTAGTACATTTGCGGTCGTCGATGCAACAAGTCGCCTGCTCGTTGATGTCTCGATTGCCATAAGAAAGATAGTGAAAAGCCAGCGAGTGCAGCAACTACGAAAAGAAAGTGGAGTAAGTGCCAAAATCGCTCTACCAATCCACACTCCGCAGTTCCAGTGCCAGTGAGTGGTGCATTTACACAGCTGTAAAAATAGTAGTGTCTAAACGCGTATCTAAACGCGTTCATTGAACCCGAAAGTCATGAACAACTGCAAGAATGCGAGAGTTCTTACAGGCTTGCACACAAGCGCGATAGAAATTACAGACTACTGATTACAACGCTTCTAAGTGGCACAAGCAAAGTCAATTATTTAATCGATTTCTGGGTCAGCCGAGGCAGTTTTTATCAGCGCCAAATCATGACTTAAAAGTACACAGACATAATATGTATTTTAAATAAAACGATTATTCTGGGAACATACATAAGATATAAAGATTTATTACGCATCACTTTTGTTTGCAAAAAAAGCTTATGCCCTGATAAATATATGAGTGCAGGCGGAGTTGTGAATCTATCTGATGATTCTTAGTTGTACATATGTTAATATATTTATATGTAGGATTGTTTATCATGTATCACCAGCAAAAACAAAGTTCAACATTCGTCGCTTCAATGCATTTACATGCGCCATTACTCACACAGCAGCGGCCAAAAATGGAAAAGACTAAGAGTTTGCCGGCAAGTCGCCTATCGTATACCCTAAGCAACCTAAGATAATCACCTTGCGCATAGTTAAAGAAACATTTGCTAGGCAGCGAACGACGCTATCCCAAATGTGTTTAAGTGGTATCAAAATGTGGGGCCAATGGTCACGCACCCGATTCCCACCGACTCCCGACTACATTTGTATTCATAAACTGCCGCCAAATGCTTGCCACAGACAAAACGTTTCGTACACCAGCACATAAAGCCCGCATTCTGTGAGAGTCAAGGAAAACAAAGAGTGGAAATGAGTAGCATCCATATTGCGCATTCGCACTGTCTGCCTCAAATAAAGCGCTCACTCGCTGATAACACTTGAAATTCTCCAAAACTTCTGTAATGCACTGGGTGCATCATGATAATTGTAAAATGACTGCCCAGTTTCCGATCGCTGGGCCCTACTGAGGCTACTCAGCAGCAGTCCGTGACTCTTGCTCATACCCCACACCCGGTTCGATCAGCAAACAGCCGGACAGCCAGATTTCCAGAACGCCGGTTCCTCAATCAGACGGCCAGTCATTCGGTCAGAACTCGAGCAGGCTGTCAGTCGTGAAAGTAATGTGTACTGCTTGCCATCAATTGAAAATCTGAGTTTTTTCCGGGCTGTGCTATAGACAACGCTCGCGAATTCCCGCGTCATTCGGGGAAATAAATTTAATTTCAAAAGTTCTTCGGTCAGTGTGAAGTTCGTTTTCAGCGCGAAGGGAGGGCGATACTTGTGGTCCCTGATACGCGTAAGTAATTTCTAGAAATGCAAATACTGGGTTTAAGCAAAAATTAAATGCCGCTTATAATTACTCGACTGGAAGTAGCAAACAAACGAAATAAGCGGTGAAGATAAATTTGACAAACTGGTTTAAACCAAAATTTTTTTTAAATGTTTTTGTACGATTCTGTTTACTAATTGATTCCCATTGTAAAATTGAATTCGCGCCATTAAATGACAACAACGAGTAAAAGATTCCAGTACAACAATCGTTTACCCCATCGAAAGGTTATCACCGAAGCTGAATATTATACGAATTGTAAACTAAATACATTTCTAAAAGCTATGCGAAGTGAAATTGTTAAGTTTGTTATCAAAAATGTTATATTCCTTTACTTTAGGAGCAATGACATCGGATTAAAGCAACGGCGAAATCCAGGAATTTCAAGATGCAAACTGTCAGCAGCTTGAAATGCAGCACAGACTCCCAGAACAGCTCGCTTCAATATAGCAGCGATATCAATGCTATCAGCCTCGAACTGCCCGATCATTCGGATGGCTTTCAGTCAGCCAACGGATTTAAGTATTTGCCATCTTGGCCAACGGTTAACTTGCATTTTTCGGAACTAAGCTATGAGGTCCCTGACCAGGCCAATGGTGAGTGACTAAGTTGTGCTCATGCTCATTACAATTGAGTAATTGCTAATGAATATATTCGTGTCTGCTAATGGGTTATTAAGAATGATAATTGGGCATAATTTCTAAAGTTATTGCTGTTTCCACAACCCGCTTATTTTCTGATGCTGAAAATGCACATATTAAAGGGCAATTATTCCATCTAATCCTATACATACTGCTATTAAATGCATGCCAATAGTAGCTAAGTCACCTTACAATCAAACATTTTTATTCCACTGAGATGTAACTCTTTAGTTTTGCTTTCACCTCCTTCAGCTTCAAGGACAAAGGCGATTTTGCGGGGAGTTAACGGGCTATTCCACTCCCATGAGCTCACAGCGATTATGGGACCTTCAGGAGCCGGTAAAACCACACTTCTGAACCTCTTGGCGGGATTTGGGTGAGGCACAATTCATAAAACCACTATATAATAAACCATTTATATTCTACAACAGCGCCGTTGGCAATTCCGGTGAGATATTAGTTAACAACAGTCCACGTGATATGCGAGTCTTTCGCAAAATGTCCCGATACATAATGCAGGTAAGAGAAGTTTCTTTAGGACCGTTCAGCTAACAAATAATTTTTTCGCAGACAGATGTTCTGGATCCGCAGTTTTCGGTGCACGAAATGATGCTTTTGGCGGCCAACCTTAAGTTGGGAAATGAACTCAATCTTAAGCAAAAGCTGGAAGTTGTAAGACTAATGGAAAACATTTTCTTTGTCGTGTTTTTAACTCCAACTTTGAGTAGATTGACGAGATTTTGGGAATGCTTCGACTAAAAGGATCCCAGAACACCATGACTCCCAAGCTTTCGGGCGGTGAGCGCAAACGTTTGTGCATCGCCCTCGAGCTGGTCAACAATCCGCCTGTAATCTTTCTAGACGAGCCTACTACGTGAGTACTTGAAAAAAAAAAAAAAAAAAAATAATTGCTTAATGTCCCATACAAATCCAAACAGCGGCCTAGATGATTTGTCGAGCTCTCAGTGCATTGCCCTTCTAAAAATGTTGGCTTCCGGGGGACGAACTGTGATCTGCTCAATTCACACGCCATCCGCCAAGATATTCGAGATGCTCGACACTATCTACGTCCTTGCCGAGGGGCAGTGCATCTACCAGGGAAGCGGTACCAACATTGTGCCTTACATGCAGCACCTGGGGCTGCGCTGTCCCATAACCTACAACCCGGCAGACTTCATCATCGAAGTGGCATGCGTAGAGTACGGAGAGTCCTATCACGAACCCATGGTGGAGGCCGTTGCCAACGGCAAGGTTGCGCGATGGTCTCATCCATTAGAGGACGGCAAGGTGACGCCCACCAAAACCGACACCACCTCAGGCGCATCCTCGTTCTATGAAATTAATCAATTTGAAGAGGAGATCGATCCGAAGCTCTTGCAAGCCAAGTGCAGCTGGTGGATGCAGTACAAGCTTTTACTAGTGCGGATGCTTATCCAAATGTGGAGGGACAAGGTGAGCTCACCGAGTGAAGCACACAGCCTAGCATGTTTTAAATTCTTCAATTTCTTAGTCGTACATTAAGCTGAAGTTTTGCATGAACATAGTACTGGCGTTACTGGTGGGATCGCTCTACTTTGGAATGGGAACGTCGGCCTCTAAAGCGCTTTTCAATTTCGGGTTCATGTTCACTATTGTGATAGCATACCTGTACCTGCCTATGATGCCGGTGCTCTTATACTGTGAGTGTCTGTCTTTCGAACGTAAATGAATATTACTAAACCTATTTTTCAGTTCCCACAGAAATCAATCTGTTAAAGAGGGAGTACAACAACCAATGGTACCGCCTAAGCTCATATTACGTTGCAATGGTTTCTTCCAAGCTTCCATCCATGTTCATCCTTGCCGTTATTTATCTGTCCATTGTGTACTTGATGTCCAGCCAGCCACTCGAATGGTTCCGCTTTGCTATGCTATTCACAATAGCTTTCGTTACGGCCTTGACTTCCGACAGTTTTGGCTTGCTGATCTCTAGTAGACTAAGCTTGGTGGTAAGCACTTGTGCACGGCCTGTTTGATTCCCTAATCCGACCACATTTCTTTCAGAACGCGATGTTCATGGGCCCAGTGGTCGCCGTGCCCCTGATCCTGCTTTCCATATACGGCATCGGGTACGGCAGAGGCGCTTACATATCCCCTCTCATGAGGTTTTTGATGCATTTAAGTTTCCTACGCCACAGTATGGAAGGCCTGGTTGCCTCACTGTACGACTACGGACGCGCAGACACAATTTGCGAGGACACGGAAATCTTTTGCTCCTTCAAAAAGTCGAAGGTCCTGCTAGCCTTTCTAGGCTTCGAGAACATGCACTATTTGTGGTCTCTCACCTGCTTGATTAGCTTCTATTTACTTTTCACTGTTGCTGCGTACATTATGATACGGCAGCGGCTTAAGAAATCGGGGGTCAACCCGATTATCGCATACGTTCTACAGCTGTTATCTAAATACTTTAACTTTACATCGTACAATTACTAACAAAAAATGTACCTGTTAGTGCCGGGGCTGTAATATAAAGCGGGATTTGAATGGTAACTCTATAAATAAGCCATCTATTTTAGATATGGATCAATTCCTAGGAAAGATAATAATGTTTAACAATCATTAATACAGGCAAATGAGTGATACCGATTAGATGTAAATAAAGATCTTACCAGATGATTTGCAACACATACATAGGTATATAGAAATATTTCCACCAAGAGTTTTCCGCTTTTCCTCTTATCTTGCGGCTATGTTGAAATTCCCGAGGATGGGGCGAGTACTTGGGGCTCCCTCCAAACATACAACTCTTGCTTTTGCTTTAATACATAAAAAACTTTTTAGTATCGCTTTAAATTGAAAGGACAGCGAATACAATAATAATAAAATACAAGACAGCGTCCCTTTAGTAATTGATCACGATGACTGCGCTTTGCACTGTTGCGCGTAGCTAATCGATATATCGATAGTTTTTATTTATTATTGGCGGCTTTTCATAACTTAAATTTAAATTCAAATTAGGAAACCATAAATTCTAACTTTAGAGAAAGCAATCACTTTTAACTCCCCAAAAAGTATACTAAATTGTTTTTTAAATTAAAACTGTCGATTAAGTTTATTGCAATGATCATTATCATGTGAATGTGTGCTTGCCTGTATTACACAATAACTAATGGGCGTCTTAATCGCGCTTTTGTTATTTTGTCTTTTAGTATGTTGCAACACATGAGATGGCACAGATTCTGTTGTTTCCACAATTAAAATGTCCGGTCCGTGGATACAGGTATTTTTGCATTACAAACATTTGTATTTTTAATATATTTTTGTAAAGGAAAATACATTATCTTACGGTTGGTTGGTTACAGAAATACAAAGACAGTGTGTAATTTACATACAATCGAGTTGTTTAAAAACTTTTGGTTAAACATATACAACGCATACGACAACAAATAGGAATATTAAAAGATACAAAAATATGTGTACAGTAAGGACATGAGAACGGTGCATAACTTTAAGGCAACGGATATAAAAGTTTTATGCCAACTGATTTGCATTGCGGGGTATTTGAAGGGGAGACTAACTACTTCTTTAATTTTTGTGATATTATAACTGAGGGACGAGTCTATACTATGTATATGTATAACTAAAGCTCATCAATTGTGGTGGAGCCCTCTATTAAGTATATATATGCGGGTAGTATGACGACTACAACTAGTGCTGTTTGAAAAGACTACACGCATTAGATTGGTTTACATTATATAACGAAGAGCGTAGATGTAGTCAGAAACTAAAGCCCAAGGGAGGTCGCAGGCCGTTGCAGCTGCAAGTTTCGACGACTTTTAACTTTAAAAACGAAACTAAAAATTACGTTGGTGTTGTGGTTTCTGTTGATGTTGACGCTGATGACGATGACTTCAACCTTTTAGCACACGGTGACTGTGGTAGCGGAGCGTCAGCGTGTAGTCAGTTGTCAGTCTCCAAAGGCTTCGCCTCCTCCCACGAGAAACCGGCGCGTCCGAAGTGGCCATAGGTGCTGGTACGCTGGTATATTGGCTGACGCAGGTTCAAGTCCCTGTGAACGACGAAATGGGCGTTTAGTAAATTTAACAAAGCTGAAATATTTAGCGCTTTCTACTTACTTGACAATCTTGCCGGGTCTGAGGTCAAAGTTGCGCCGAATGATATCTAGGAGTTCCTTTTGCGACTTGTGGGAAGTACCGTAGTCGAACACAGTTATGGACAGAGGCTCGGCTAGACCGATGGCGTACGAGACTTGGACAAGACAGCGCTTGCAGAGACCGGCCTTAACTAGAGACTTGGCCACCCAGCGGGCTGCGTAAGCTGCGGATCTGTCGACCTTTGTGAAGTCCTTGCCAGAGAACGCACCGCCACCGTGGGCGCCCCAGCCTCCGTAGGTGTCCACAATGATCTTGCGGCCTGTTAGTCCGGCATCACCCATGGGGCCACCGATGACAAAGAGACCGCAAGGATTGATGTGTACAATTGTGTTGGCATCAATGTATTTGGCGGGAATGACGACTTTCACAACTTTCTCCATTACTTCTGAGCGCAGGGTCTCAAGCGAAATCTTCTCCGAGTGCTGCATGGACACTACGATAGTGTGGACGCGCTTGGGTACTGCTGATCCCTGATTGAAGAGGTACTCGCAGGTAACTTGTGTCTTGGAATCGGGTCGAGCCCACCAGAAGACATCCGTGCGACGCAGCTCAGCAATCTTCTCGTTCAGTTTGTGGGCCAACACGACGGTAAGTGGCATGCACTCCTCGGTCTCATCGGTGGCATATCCGAACATGATGCCCTGGAAAACGTGCATTTATCGGTTTAGTAATGCTCTTTGCCTTGAGTCACCAAATAGAACCAAAACCAAATAATGTTAGAATCGTTATTGAAATAAAATACATTTGGATATTAGGGAGAAAATGAGCCAAGCTTATGAGGTATAGATTGATATGAGTGTTGATTTCGAGAAAACTACAATACAACTAAGCATCGAAAATATGATTACAATATTTTAGTTTGTGATGTATATGCGGTAGTGTGCCTTGGTTTATGCGCATTTGTTATTTGAACCAATGGTCTAATCTGAATAAATAAAAGTCAAATAATATTTCGGGAATTTGAAGATCAAACAAGGAGTGGTTTTTGCAGCTTCAAATAACAATCAAGTCAAAAAAGTGCTTCGTTGGTGTGAACCGTGTAATTGCTCGAGCAATATTGCAGCGCTACATATTACATAGTGGCAAATAGAGAACTACAAATTAATTCAAAAATACACAGCAACACAATCGTCAAACACTATTTCGATTAGTTACGAAATTATATAAAGAAAACAATAAACACAAATCGTACAATTGGCGGTAACACCTTTTCCAAAGAGCTTATAAACGCGCAAACACCATTAATATCTCACCCGTAACCAAGTGAAAGTCGTTAGAAAAATAAAAGAAGCGTAGCTCTTTGGGAAGGGCTTACGATCCCGGCCTGCCGAGACTGCCATTGCGTTACTGCTACAAATTTCACACCTGATCTCCGGCACCGATCTCTTCCTCGGCGCGGTTGACATGCACTCCGGCAGCGATTTCGGGCGATTGTTGGTCCAATGCCAATAGCACGTTGCACGTTTTGAAATCGAAACCTTTTGTGAGTTTTGAACCGCGATTGTAAATTGCACATTATCGATTAAAATCGTGTTTTGTTACATATGAAACGAGAGAGAAAGATAAAAGAAAGGAGCGCAGCAATGTTGCACACACACAGGAAAATGTCTGTAAATAATGTTTATAATATGATTTATTTCACCCTATTATTCTAGATTATAAATAAATGTTGTTTATATAAAAATAGAGCTCTGCTTAATCTTCATCAGGACTTCACTGCAATAAACAAATTTCGATTGCGAACAATGAAACAAATAAATATGCTGATGTCTGATATATCTTTTATACCGCATTAAAGGTAACCTTTTAGTCTTCTCTGATAATGGGAGACATGCCGCATGCAAGACTTTGTTTTCGCAGAGTTCCTTAAAAAGGTAACTATCTGGCTTTTAATGGTTACACGAATCTTTCGATGGGATTGGTATTTATGTGGTTAGAACACCCGCAGTGCAATCCAAATGTGTGTTATGTAATGTATTTCAGCCGTTTCTGATTTGCTCGAGGTCCAACTGTTAATTTCCTGTTCGCAAATTGATACTGATTTTAAATTTTGAACAGCTGCTTTTAAATCCTTTCTTGATTGGTGTGTAGAAAAGTAGAATGTTTCTACTGATAATCTGATTTAAATGAAAAATATGAAACTCTAGTTGGCCTGCGAGCGAGCCTAGTTAATGTGAAAAGGATACGATTTAAGGGGAACACTTAACAACATGAAAACGTAACGAACGAACGCACACCCTCCGCATCACATAGTGCTAGGCGGTAGTAGGAGAACGGATAAGCTTGCTGTACCTGGTCACCAGCGCCGACGTCGTCTTCTTCGCGGTTGATGTGCACGCCGTTGGCAATGTTGGGCGACTGTTGTTCGATGGCGACAAGGAGATTTAGGGTCTTCCAATCGAAACCTTTTTGATTTTGATTTAATTTTGTATGATGATTTAATATTGGGTTTACAAGTGAGTTCGTATTTTGACTTAACCAAAGAATCCTAACGCCCGCCCACAAATATTTTTGTATATTTTCAAGACCATGGATACTCACCCTTTGAGGAGTCATCGTAGCCAATGTGCTGAACTGTCTCACGAACAACCTTTTGGTAGTCGACCACGGCCTTTGATGTGATCTCTCCGCAGAGCAGGATCATACCAGTCTTGGCCACGGTTTCTATATTAAATAATACGGAAATGTTAAAAAAATAAATTTTCAATTAATCCAAAAACTTTTCATCGGCCTGCCGCTCACTTGACTTTGTTTATTTATTTATGCTAGCTATCGATTTTGGCGACTTTGAAAAGAATTGCACACGCGTCGATGGCTGCGACAATGTTTTCTTTCTGGATGAGTTTATTTTTTTTATGGTCTGTCGCTCTCAAAAACCAATACATATGTGTTTTCGGCGCCTTTTGTCGTCCTCACCCATTTGGTGAGGAGAGTGGCGTTGGAGTATTCCAGTGAATGGGTACAGTGGGCAGTCATGGTTTCATAGTTCCTTTAACACTTACCGCACGCCACTTTTGCGTTGGGATCCTGCTTCAGATGGGCATCTAAGATAGCGTCGCTGATTTGGTCGCACATTTTGTCTGCAAGAGAGGGTGAAGGTTAGTGCGAGATATGAACATTTTTATACCGCCAAGAATCGTGGCCGGGGGCAGGGGAATGACCACCGTTTGTGCCAAAATACATACGCGCTCTACCCAACATTTTTCGCCGCCTAGGCGAGACAGCTAAAAATGCCAGGCCAAGCGGTTTATTTTAATTTTCAGTCTGCTATTGACAGCGAAATTCAATGCCATTTTATGTCTATAACTCAGAACACGAGCCCTAAGCGACGATGGCGCTGCACAAACAAAAAGTATGGAATTCGAAGCCGATTCGTGATGTGAATCCTTGGACTCGGATTCATCCGATAACATTCGCGTTGCCAGCGCTTTGTCCCGAAACTTGCCGCGAAACCTGAGCCTTTTGACTTTCGACAGCTTTCTGTGGAAACTCAAATATTGCGTCAGCGTTAGACCCATGAAATGGCAAAACTCAAAACATAGACTTGACTAAAAATGGCAAAGCGTTAGTTTTGTGCTGCGGAGATTAGCACTAAAAAGTTGGGTCAAGCCCTTATGACTTTAATTTTCAGCTAGTGAGAAAACAGTTCCAATTTTCTAGATAAGTCACATATTCCAGCAAGCCCGTCAATCAATCGTCACAGGAAGACATGGTAATTATTGTCAACCCTTTGGGTAGCATTCTTTTGGGTTGCTTCCGGGGCTTATCATGAGGGCTGTCTAGAGCTGACTTGCCAAGCCGACTTAATTAGCAATATAAAATATAGAATGGTAAAAGTAATCAATGTGTAGTATAAAAGGTCGCTCTCCTTATCTGCAGATGTTGTCAAATACATTCACACGCTGGTTTCCCGCTGATATAAACAAAAACTGGCAGCGGCAAAAACCCCGAGCTCGAGCGAAACACGTGGTTGGCCATTTCGACCGAAAGATAAGCTTTAAAAGCTGACAAAGTCAACGTGGGTTTGTTTAAGTTTAGCCCTTGTTTTGATCGCCTTCTGCGAAGTACAAGTGCATGAGCAACGCCGATGAGCGCAAACAAAAGCTGGGAGAGAGTGCTCCAAGTTGCTTCCAATCATTCAGAAGCACATGGTGCGCATGACGCAGTTTCCCTGAATGTGTGAGAGCCTCGAGCGATAAAGAACCAGTCTATAAATTGCGTCGGCCTCACAAACACAACGTTTGGCCCCGCCACTGTGTGGGGTTTCGAGGGCAGCCAGCTGTTCTACGGTGGCCCAGGCGGCCGGCAGTGGTACCTGCCAATGCAGAGGGCAATCGTAATCTCCGGAGTAGACAATCCATGGGATGCGTGACGAAAAACGCCTGCTCTTGGCGGGTTTTCAGAGATCCGGGAGGGAGGCCACCACTCCATCATATCGATGAGTAAACAAGCACGTTTTTTGCCACCCCTCTTTCCACTTTGCCGCTACAAAAGAAGCGCAAATTGGGTAGCAATCAACAAATGTATGCGCCATAGCAATCCGTCGCCATTTTGTTATACCGCAGGCAGCAGACGGTTAAGGTGTGGAAATGGGAATGGAGGAGGGGCTGGGGTTTCAGCAGACAACCAGCTGGACCTCAGTTCCTAGAGAAATAGTTTGGTTAGGTTATGAGCACCGGTAAGCGACGCAGACGTTCATCCCCAAGTACAGACGAATGTGCTTTTGTGCCTGCATCTGTATACACAACGCACATGCATGGGAACTGGGCAACGTGATGCAATAGAAGGCTTCGCGGACGTAATGGAGCACTCACCTGGATGGCCCTCGCCAACGGATTCGGAAGTGAACAGGAATGTGGCTCCGTCTTCCATGTCGTAGGAGTTGCCGTTGCTTCCGTTGCAGCCGTTGGCGCTGTGTCCGTTTGTCTTTTGCGGCATTTTGGGGTGGAGTTTGAAGCTCGAAATTGGTCTGATAAAAGTCTTCAAAACAAGTTCCGGTCAGGTTGTTGCTGGAGCTGTGTGAACAGAAAGAGAACGGGCCAAATTAGCTGGGTGCCAAAAAGCGCTTGACGAAATTGATTTTCCGAACTCTCACAAAACATAACTATTTTCGAATTTGCAAATCCGAGCCCGCCGCCTCGAACCTTTTGGGATTTTCCGGTTTCTGCACGCTGTTCGTAATGTGTAGAGTTTTTATATAATCGCTTTACTTTAATTTAGTTTTGTGCGGCACTACACACACGGCACGCACATTTCACGGGGTCAAAAACAAAACTAGTCGCTTGGCGAGAGCTGGTTTATATGCGTAGTCGTCTGGCTGTTCGTTAGTTCAATAAGTTATACACACTGATTCTGAATTCTACTGCTTCAGCGACGGCAACCAATTCAGCGGCGCAGCCAACACACGTCCTATCTTGGCGACGGTTCTGTAAAAAGAGAGCGCACACTTTTCACGGCTTTCTGAATTTATACCTCCAAGTGCGAGAAGCCCGCTCTGCTTGCCGCAAACGGAGGAAAGGCGGTTCTCTTTGGGTGGCGGAGTACGTAATTTGGGGCTTATTTTGGCGCTCTTCGTGGGGGCCGCGAAACTTTCCTGGCGTTCTCGGGACTCTCGGAAACTTCACTTCATCAGCATCCACGTTTTTGCTTTTGCCCGTCGTGAAAACAGCTGTTCGCTCGCCTCGGCGCTGCCACCCCGTTCGAAAAAGAACTGCACTGGATCCGGTTCAGGATCCTTTCTACTCACTTGGGTTTTGAACGAAGGATTTAACGAGATTTCGGCTTGAAGACTTGACTTGCTTCCTGCTCAGCCAGCGTTTGACTGCCGATTTTTGGTGGCGAATGCTAATTTATAAACTTGCCTACCCAGCATTCGGGAAGATGAGTCGGCAGGAAATAATAGCTTATCAGACGAAAACTATGTGGTACCTATATATGTACATATATACTCACATTTTAGAATCTGTTTAGAACTACTCTCTCTGTTTTTTTATGTACAATCGCTACACGAAGCGCAATACGAAACGACTTGGTAAACGGATGGCTGTATTTTTTGAAATCCAAGCTTACCCACAACTACGAGTGATTGACCTTTTGAGCCAAGGGAAATCGTACATTAATTTAGGGTTTCCGTTTGCAAAACGAAATCTAAGCTTCCCCATTACGTCGAGTGGTTGACCTTTTGAGTCAAAATCGTACATCAATTTAGGGTTTTCGTACCATTCGTACAATCTGTGCAATCGAAAAAATGCTCCATCATGTCACGAAGACAAAGGCACAAACAAGGTCTGCCAAGATCAAGGCGCTTGGTAATCAGCTTTGTGCATATAGATTTAAAAAAATCGAATACCCACTGAAAATAACCGAAAACAACAAGCCTCATTATCTTTCAAATTAGGTGTGACCCCCCGGGGGCCAAAGAAGATCGCGTGTTCTGAAAACAACTATTTGGACAGATGTGCATATACTTTATTCCGGAGCACAAAAGTGCATATTTATATATTCTAAAATTTGTATTGTAGAATTATTCCTGTACATTATTCCTGATCACAAATGGCGTATATTTGCTAATATCAGAATTTGTGTTGTACAGAAGTACATTATTCCTAAGCACAAATGGTGTATACTTGCACTTGTATTTGTATTGTGCAATGGGATCTTGTGACACTTCACTGATTTTCCATCGCCGATAAAGTCAATATCATTTTTGAAATATTATCTACTTACATATATAATAATTATTATAACTTTACTTTCTTTCGAACAACAATGATATCCTTTGAAATTAATCACTAATAATACCCGTCTCAAAGAAAACTGCTCAATAGCTATCAGCTAAGTGACCTCAGCACCGCGTGACTGGGCATAATCCAAAATGAAGATTAATATTTTATTTGTGTAGTATTAAATTAATTAAACGCTATTACATGCACAATTTCCGTTTGAATATGTGGAGCAGCCCGTGTCAGTTGACCAAAATGATGTGGCAACTCTGCGACGATAAATGTCAGATAGGGCGATAAACAGCTGTTTGTGAAGAAAAACAAATTGAAATTTTGTAAACTTAAATGCGAGCTTTATTAGCGACCACGTCACAGCTCGTCGGTCAAAATGAGGTTTTGGCTATTTTGCGGAGTTGCTGTCCTGTGCCTTGTCCTTCAAGCGTCGGCGGAGGGCGACGGGGGCCAGGAGGTCCCCAAGAACATCACCACCAGCAACTCCACCACGCCAGAAAGTAGTAACTCCACCCACAACCCATTGCCCGATATTGCGGCCAGTCTTCCAGGAATTATATCCCCCTCAACTGCTGTTCCTGTCAATGTATCCACCACGAAGAAGGGCAACGCATCGTCGGTGGCCACAGAGCCCCCACTCATAGACTCCCATGCTGTCGAGCAGGAGCACAACTCCTCGCTGTCCCTGTTCTTCGTGATCTGCGTAATCATGCTCGGCATCCTGCTGATCCATTCCATGCTGCAGACCGGATTCCAGTACTTGCCGGAGAGCATTGTGGTGGTCTTCCTGGGCGCCTTTATCGGCCTGTCGCTGAACGTGATGTCTGGAGAAAATGGCAGCTGGAAGCGCGAGGAGGTCTTCTCGCCCATGGGCTTCTTCCTGGTCCTCCTTCCGCCTATTATATTCGAATCCGGCTACAATTTGCACAAGGGAAATTTCTTTCAGAACATCGGATCCATCCTGGTGTTTGCAATATTCGGCACAACGATTTCCGCTCTAGTCATCGGGGCAGGGATTTACTTGCTAGGCCTGGCAGAAGTGGCATTTCGGTAAGTTAAACGATGTATGTACGCCCTATCGTTGTTTAAACTACACGTTTTTTTTAGACTCAGCTTTTCAGAGTCGTTTGCCTTTGGCTCACTAATCTCGGCTGTTGATCCTGTCGCAACTGTGGCCATTTTTCATGCCCTGGACGTAGACCCCATACTAAACATGTTGGTGTTTGGCGAAAGCATCCTGAACGACGCCATATCGATTGTCCTGACCGCATCCATCACCCAATCGGCTAACGCCAATGCCGAGGCCAGCACTGGGGAGGCAATGTTCAGTGCGTTGAAGACCTTCTGCGCTATGTTCTTTGCATCGGCGGGCATTGGAGTCATATTTGCGTTGATATCGGCTTTGCTGCTCAAGCATATAGATTTGCGGAAGCATCCGTCTTTGGAGTTTGCCATGATGCTTATGTTTACCTACGCCCCCTACGTCTTGGCCGAGGGAATACATTTAAGCGGTATATAATAATATAATAATGTATATCTGGACCGCAAACCTAAACACAGCTTATTTTCGAACAGGTATAATGGCCATACTATTTTGTGGAATCGTAATGTCTCACTACACGCATTTCAATCTATCCACGGTAAGAACTCTGCCAATAATTCTACAGATATTGAAACTGTTGTAATCGCAGGTCACTCAAATTACTATGCAGCAGACGATGAGAACGCTGGCTTTTATCGCTGAGACGTGCGTATTTGCTTATTTGGGCCTGGCGATCTTCTCGTTCAAACACCAAGTAGAACTGTCTTTTGTTATATGGGCAATTATATTATGTCTCATTGGCCGGGCCTGCAACATTTTCCCTCTCGCCTTCTTGGTCAACAAATTCCGCGAGCATAAGATCAACAACAAGATGCAGTTCATCATGTGGTTTTCTGGACTAAGAGGAGCCATTTCCTACGCGTTGTCTCTGCACTTGAACCTTGACAGTCAAGAGAAGCGCCACGTCATCATAACAACCACGTAAGAGCATTCTGGCTTAAAAACACCGAGTCATTCAAAATCAAAAATTTTCAGATTGATAATCGTACTATTCACCACGCTGGTATTGGGGGGCTCGACGATGCCACTGCTTAAGTATCTTAAACCTGGTAAAAAACGCCGAACACGAGGCTCTGTGCGAAATACCCCTGAGGAGGGAGGACGACGAAGCGGCAGCGGCCGGAAGCGGTCGAAGTCTATTTCCCTCTCGAAGACCCGCGAATGGGGTCAGGCAATTGACTCAGAACACCTGTCGGAGCTCACTGAGGAGGAAGACGTATCTTTTACACAGGCCCGCGATCGCTTTGGTCGCATGGATCGCAAGTACTTTATTCCGTTCTTTACGCGACGCTTTAACAGTCAGGAGCTGCATGAATGCAAGTCGCAGATGGCTGACCTGACTAACAAGTGGTATCAAGCTATTCGCGTGAGTCCATTGGATTCGGATGAATCGGATGAAGAGATCGGGTTGGCGGCCAGCACAAGTCAGAGCCATCTGACACGATCGTAGGAATTCGAGGGTTTGGAGAACTCTGGCTGTGCTGACACCTTGGTGGCCAAATAGAACGATCGTATTTATAATTCTAGTTCAAATTTTCAATTTTGTATCTTTTTAACGCGGTGGTGGTAATTGTTAACTTGTGCATATTTTCCTTGTTTCAAAATGTTTATTTTGTTAGACCTGTATGCAATGATTAATCCGTGTTATGGTAGTTCCTTCCTATAACCACTTCAAGCAGTATTTCATTGCACACGAAAGTTGCTCTTCAAAGACTACACATGAAACTTATGTTAGAAATAATTATTAATATTTGAATGAATGTTATCGCTGTATTTGTGATTTTGTAAATTTTTGAAACCAAATATAATAAATATCTAAATGTGATACCAATGACAAGATGTGGCCTTGGCCGGCTTGGTGAAGTTACAATTTTTAATACATTTTTTGTTTAAAAACCAATACATTTTTTGAAATTTACTTTGGCAAAATTGTTTATAATCAATTGGTAATATTAGTGCCTATTAAACTAAAATTGACTACAAAGGGTGTGCATGACTGTGCGTTATGGTAACTCCTACAGTTCTTCATGCGTGGACTCCTCACCGAGACCAGTATAATCTGCTTCGCTGCTGACTGTAAGCAAAATACAAAATTCGTTAGAATGCTTAAGCAAATGGTGTTTAATCAAGATAACTGCTGATCAAGGCCCTGTGCATCTTATTCGTAGAATAAACCTAACGACCCGTCTCAGATTGGCTTATAAAGACTTCAAAATCAGTTCCTCCAACTGTTTTGTGTCTATTTCGGGCTGGTGACCGCCTTCTGCCTCCGAATTCATCCAGTACTCGGAAACAGCAATGTACACAGCCACCGCCGCCCCAACAATGCAGCCCCAGGCAATGTGGGTGGAGCTCTGGAAAATTACGCAGGTGGCCACGCACATGCCAAAGTAGGTAAGCATTCGCGTGTAGCTCACGTAGTTGCTGCGTTGCTCCGCAGAAAGGTCTTTGTGGGGCGGAGGTGCAAGACATGTGGTGGTAAATGCATTGTTAAGAAGCAAAATGGTATAACCGCTGTTTTACTTACCGTTGCACTTTCCGTCCTTCAGCGCAAAGCCATCCGCACACTTCTTGCACATGTCCGGGCCATCGCCTTCGCAGCCATCACAGGAGCGGTCGCACTCCAGGCAGCTAAAGGATCCCTCATTGTTTACGCAGAACTGCTGCGGCCTGCAGGAGTTTGGGCGCTTCTGCTCTAGGCACTCGTTGATGTCCACGCAGCCCGCTTCCGAATCCATGCTCCAGCCATCCTTGCACTTGCGGCAGCTCTTCGGACCGCCTCCCGTGCAGCCGCCCTCGCCACAGGCCGCGTGACACTGCGTGCATAGCAGCTTCTTTTCGTCCCGGAAGGACTCGTAGTGAGTCAGACCACATTCATTGCAGTTTTGTCCCGCATAGCCAGTATCACATTTGCACTTGCCGTTGCCCTTACGTGTTCCAGCACCCTTGCATTTGCCTGCAAATATTAATTAATTATAATCAATAGCTTTTAAACATAAAAATAAGAATAATTCAATTGATCAATAATATACATACATACATATGTAGTTTGCCCATTGTGAAGTTGTAAAAATTCTGTTCAAAATACTTTGAAATTCGAGGATTTATAACTGATAAACAAGCTAGCAAAAAACTATATAGACTTGTACATATATGCTCCACCGGATATATGTACATTTAGTTTTTGGAAATTTAATATTGACATAATGCATGAGAAATATTTTAGCCGGATATGTAAGATCTTTAAGTGATAAGAATGGTTGTTGAAACAGACAACCGGATAATTCTGTGTCGACAGCTGAGCTGACATCTATTTTATAAGAGGTAGACTAACTTAAAAGTTGTTGTCAACTGCTAATACCTACTGTAAATCTAGTTTGCGTTTTAGTCGAATTACCCATATAGACTGGTCTGGGAGTTAAATTGAATCCACCCTAGGTAATCGAACCGTACCGTTTCCGCTGCAGTCGGTGCAGGGCTGGCAGTCCGCTCCAAACGTGTTCGCCGGACAGCAAACGGCCAGTTGGTCAACGCAGAGCCAGGACTGCAGGTCAGGGCTATCCGTTTGTTTGTGGGTGAACCAGTCCTCGAGCAGAGCTTCGTGCTCGTTGGCTAGGTTGTGGCAGTGGTCCTTGTTGACTACGCCAGGGTCCGAGCACAGTTTCTCCTGGATCTCCACCAGCCGCACCTCGCTGTTCTTGTACGAGCGCAGCTTTTCCTCCTCCCACGCCGTATCCCCGCCCCCATGTCCTCGTTTCGTGCGCTCGAGTCCTTCCTTAAAGGAGCCCACCAGCTGGGTGCAGGCCCTGCAGGGCGGAGGAACTGGTTTTTCGGCCGAAAAGGACGCCGATGCCACCGTCAGCAACGCCAGAGTGGCGGGCCAACAGTTCTTGAGCCTCATAATCTTTAATTTTCTGCGTTTTTTGCCTAGCCGGCGAATGCTGTTTAGTTTACGTGTATTTTAAGCCAACACTATCGATAAATCTGTCTACATCGATTGTTGACTCATGCTCTCGCTGTTAATATCGATTGGCCGCGAAATATGAAAATCATAAATGGAGCCGATATTATTCATGCAACTCTTTACATACTGTAAACTGCAGGACATGTGGTGAAGAACCGAACTGATAAGGGTGTGAGGAGGGCATTACCAAAGACCAATATAAACTCTTTATTGGTCTTTGGCATTACAATATATATAAGCAGATCTTTGGGCATTGGATACCAAGATTTAAATTAAATCAATTGTTTAGGAGAAATAGTCGTTGAAGTGCAAAAAAATCATTTTAGCTTTGTTCAACAGCTGGATATAAAAAACATAACAAATGTTTTTTATGAAAATTATTTTTCCAAGTAAAATAAATTACAGCCAAAAGTTGGTTCTGTGTTCAGCAATTTTTTTTAAACGCGGTTTGCCGATTTCTTTCTAGTCTTGAGTCTTCTTTTGAGACAAACCGACTTTTGATATATAACATATTTTTCTCTAAAAATTCTTAATTCACCACAGTAATTATGCTAAGCTAATTTGATTTGCTTTTATTTTAAATAGCAAAGCTAGAGACCATAGGAGGAAATTTCAGTTAAAAACAAGAAAGGAAAGCTAACATCGGGCGGAGCCGAAGTTGATATACCCTAGCAGAATACTCTGTAAATTATATTTTGCAAAATTATTCATATGATGCATTCTTAATACTCATAAAAAATCCCAACTTCGTAACTTTAAAAACACCAAAGTTAAGGCATTTCCGATCAATCAGTTATATGGCAGCTATAGGATATAGTCGGTCGATCCTTATGAAGTTTGGTAGGTCGGATTGATTGGCCAAAAATAAAACCCATAGAAAATCCCAACTTCCTAACTTTACAAACACCAAAGTTATGGCATTTCCGATCAATCAGTTATATGGCAGCTATAGGATATAGTCGGCCGATCCTTATAAAATTTGGTACGTCAAATTGATTGGCCAAATGTAAAACCCATAGAAAATCCCAACTTCCTAACTTTACAAACACCAAAGTTATGGCATTTCCGATCAATCAGTTATATGGCAGCTATAGGATATAGTCGGCCGATCCTTATAAAATTTGGTACGTCAAATTGATTGGCCAAATGTAAAACCCATAGAAAATCCCAACTTCCTAACTTTAAAAACACCAAAGTTATGGCATTTCCGATCGTTCAGTTATATGGCAGCTATAGGATATAGTCGGCCGATCCCGGCCGTTCCGACTTATATACTGCGTGCAAAGGAAAGAAGGGTGTGTGCAAAGTTTCAATTCGATAGCTTTAAAACTGAGAGACTAGTTTGCGTAGAAACAGACAGACGGACAGACGGACAGACAGACGGACAGACGGACATGGCTATATCAACTCAGGAGGTGATCCTGATCAAGAATATATATACTTTATATGGTCGGAGATGTCTCCTTCACTGCGTTGCACACTTTTGACCAAAATTATAATACCCTCTGCAAGGGTATAATAAATATATGTTAAAAGATTATCCACCGAGCGAGGTCCAGCGGGTGGATTTTGGGGAGTCCGCACCGAGCTCTGTGTAGCCTCCTTGGAGTGGTTTGTTATTTTTGCGAGGTGGATTTTCGATAGCATGTTTATGATATCCCCAAGCAGGGGGACGCAGAGGTCACTGGCGATGTCCAGGTTTCGGAGAAATCGCCCCGCATACATATTCTGTGTAGCATTTGATTCTGAAGTCCTTTCCAGTTTGGTTTAGACATGGATTCCGTACCTTTCGTTCTCCTTGATGAACCACAACATTTTCCTGGCTTTGACTTTAAAGACTGCTTTAATCATCTTCGTGAGAGTTGTGAATGTTAATCAGACAAAAACAAAATAAATAAAATCATTTTTAAAAAGTTGCTTTTTATTTGTGATTTGTTTGTTAATAGTAAAAAAATATTCTAAAATATTTAATAATACCTAGAAAATATAAATAATAATTTTGAACATGAAATAAGTATCCTGCATTTAAATTCTTTTGTTAACTCATTTAAATTCTTTTGTTAACTCATTTAAATTCTTTTGTTAACTCATTTACTTTAATTCTTATAGGCTCTTAAAGTTTTTGATAGTAAGTGGTTTAAATAAGCCACTGTACACTCATATTTAAATTAAAAGATTTTAGACATTTTTGTATTAGTGCTCTTAATGGTTTTCAGGCATGGCCCCTTTTTCTGTGTTGGACCCAAACAATTCATCAGGGATAAATTCCCCTGAAGGATCACTCTCTATTTGGGCCATAAAATCGTCTAAACGCTCTAGAGATGCGATTGCTTCCCGAGATTCCTCTTCATCCAAGTAGTTGTATTTCCCTTCTCTGGAATGCAACTGTACGTGATCGGCAACCTGCTGACCAAAGCTCTGATCCGGTCTGCTGTAGCTTCCATACAACTCGCGCAGCGTTGTGCGGGTGAGATTGAACTCCCGCATTCCAAAACTCATCTTCTGGCCATCTTCAGCGGTTTCGCGTCTAGTGGCCTTCCGTTCATCATGGGCCAATTGCTCGGCCTCCGTGCGCTGTGCCATCTCACTTGCCGCCGAGCTGTGGCGGGATGACCAAGAGCTGGAGGCCGACTTGCGGGAGCGCTTGATTATTTGACGGCACTTGTTCGTTATGCCGCCTACGATCTCGGACACCAGGGCAGTGGCGCCCAGGAAATACCCAAGCGCCATGAGCAGGAACATGCCTTCCGTGTCCGCCGTGGTTAGCTGGCGCTCCTCCTGGATTATTTCTCGCAGGGAGTTCGAAGAACTGGCCTGCAAAAGGCGACCTGAGGACGAACGCTGCATAACCCAGCTAACTTCATTATTGATTTTGGCAATAAGGCCGCTTTGCTGTGCCAGCAAGATCATCGAGTCGATCTTGCGCTTATACACAGACTCTCGGGGAAAGAGAAAGCCTATTTGGAACAGAGCAAAACACTCTTCACTCAAATGGAGCGCCGATCGGCGCGAAATATTTCTGGAAGATAAAATTGTTTTTTTTCGGTGGGGCATAGGTGGAAATATTTAATTGATCGCGCTTACTCATCCGAAAAATTAGATTGCACCAGGTACTCAAGCTGAGCCTTGGAACCCAGAAAGGCGTAGTTCCAAAAGAAGCTTTGCGTTACATTGCCGATGCCCTCCTCTAGGGTCCCGACAAACTCCATTTTCTTGTATAGCCTGGACGTGGGAATGTGGGTGGAGTTCTGGAACCAGGTCTCCCAGCCACCATTGTCTTTGCATAAGTATCCCAAATATAAGTAAAAAACTAATATAGCTTAAAATTCTCACCTAGTGTTCCCACGCGAAAGAACAAGCCCAGTAAGTCCAGCACAGAATCCACGGTGTCGGGGAACGCTGGCAACGTTACGAATGCAATAATCGAACCTGTGTAACATGATGTAATAATAATTGTAAACAGCCAATAGGCTCCAATCAGAAGACGTGTGGAGTTCTTCTGCGTGTTGCTCCACGAATATTTGCCAGTGAAGGTGAAAGCGTTTGTGAACATGCCAAACACATACCAAAACATGTTCTCCACCTCTCCCCAGTTGCCCATTAAATGGCTAAGTGTCAAACGGTCAGTAAAGACGATCGGAAATATCCCTCCAAGGTACACGCAAATCAAAGCCACCCAGACAGGCCACTGAAACGGACCCATGATGGCTCTGTATTTGGGCAGTGCCTTTGAGGCGAGTGTTATGAAGGCGGCACAATCCCGTGAGTGTCCTACCGACATATCGGAGTCCTGCAGCCGCTCTTCAGTTATGTAAATTCCCGACATTCCTATGTCCACTGTCCTCTCCACAATCTGCTTTTGAATGGTATCAACTACTCCACGCGTAAAGGCCTGCGTTGATGTGATGTCAGTAATGTCTACCGAAAAGTTCAATCGCTTCGATATCATGGTCAGCAGTCGGAACTCCATTCCGTCCCAGCGCAACTGACCCATTCCAGAGGAGTCCAAAGTCCGAATGCGGAAGATAAAGGGCGGCTGATTGGCTGCCGAAATTTGAAACCTGTGGCCCGCAAAACCAAATTGAAACTTCGGTGGAAAAAGATTGATGTGCGGTCGCGATAGGGCGCCTTTTATCCAGCTGGTGAGCACTACGGGAGTATTTGAGCCAAGGCCATCTGCGTAAAGCTTATGGGTGTAGAGCACGTAGGGACGCTCCTGTGAACAAGGTGAGTCCAATTTCATACGTATATATTAAATATGTTCAATATTTATTTTACTCACGCGCATTGGGTCAGCCATTAGTGACTCTCCGATAACTAGTAAATTTACTATGTTTGAGGACAGCTCCGATGATAAAAAATCCCGGAGTCTCCATTGTGTGGACCTCGAGACAAGCACCACACGACTTTCTGTTTGAGGACCGAGAATCTTTCGCGTCATAAGTGGGTCCGAAAGGAACAGAATGTAACTTTTGCAATTGCTATCAATGTGGCTTGTAAAACGGGAATTTTTCGATTCATAGTCATCATTTATTTCGCCATGGTAGAAAGTAATAGGTATGGTCTGCAAATAGAATGTATATATATTTTTGATCAACATCACTAGACGAGTGACGTTCCTAATCTTATCTTTTTAAATGTGCATTGATCAAGGTGAAAACTGGTGATATACGACTATGTACTATAGCTGCAATATATAAGATCGGGTAAAATAAGCTTAATTTAATTGTTTTCGAAGAATTGTTCTTATATCTATCTCGATGTTTTTTCCTCATATGATTGTTTTATATAATTTCGGATATTGTATATTGAATATTCATATGTATATTCCCGCAGTGCACATTGTATGTCTGGTATGACTGCAAGGGTATCAAAGCTTCGGTTTTTCGAGGTTAGCCTTGGTTTTCAATTTGAATTATTATAGTAATAATTCGAATTCCGAGTTAAGGGTTTTAGTTTATTATATACTTTTTTACCTGTTATATACAATGTAAAAAATAAAGGAGGCTGTATTTCGACTGTGCCACTAACACATTGCATATATAAAATATTGACATATTTTGAATTAATGTATATGTTCATCTACCGATCTTACCTTGAACAAATTTTCAAGAATCAGTCCATCTGATTTTTCCACAAAACTGTCATAATATATGACCGGAGGGCATTTACTTAGGTACTCTTGGGCAATTTTGTTAACCAGCCCCACCAGGGAGTTTGTCTGATCAAAGTTGTAGGAATTTACGTGAAACTTCATGGTCAAAAGCTCTCCTCGTGGCTTTGGATTACCATGGAATGTGTGGTCAACACGACGTTTTTTACGCAACTGATTTTCATTTTTACCGCCGCATTCTTTAACTCCGTAAATTTCTTCATTCAACTGATAACGATTGATAAGTTGTCTGCTAATACACTTTTCTGGATAACCAGATTCGTAACCCGCTCCAATATCGAGCCAGTGGGTCGTCAATAAGACCACAACAATGCCAGTTTCCCACATAACAAGTACAAGTTCCGAGCTCAATGTGATTGCAGTTGTGAACATATGGCTCTTTTTATACCTTTCCACAACTTACTTGCTTGCACGCTAGGGTTCATCACCTCATCAAATTATATAGTGTTCAATATTGTTGTGAACGCGAGTTTATTAATTGTAACACCTGGAGGATTTTTTTCTGTAGGGCATCAGATAATGGTTTTGGGTATACCTTAATTTGGACACATTGATTGAAATATGCGGCTACATTTTTAATATTACAGTTTATTGAAAACATACGTACATTTATATACAGGTATATTGTTTTTAACGAACATTAGCACAAAATACTTAATTCACTCGATTCTCCAAAAATGTTCTTAAATTGCGACATGCAGTTTTTTCCCTTAAAATATTTTCAGCCTGACCTATTTGATTGTTATCCCTTATTATTGCATGTTGATTCCCCTTAATACTTTTGCATATTTATACCTTATATGCTAATCTACAGTTTATAGGCTTGCACATCATTGAATAAATTGAATTCAATGTTTTTTTATTTTTCGTAAAAACGGCTAAGTATTGGCAATCGTTGCGACTCATCTACCTATTTCTTGCTTTTTATTCGCGTTTTGTATATTCACTTATTTTGGGATGCTACAGAAATCTCTTCCAAACAAACTTCAACCGAATTTATAATGAGTTTGTAGCACCCATGATTGACTGCCTTTGGGTACCAATTAGATAAGACTAAACATTTAGTTTATATATTAAATTTGCCGCCACGACGTAAAATTAAAGGTAATATCTATGAAACTAAAATTTGTATGGGGTAGTGAAGAGTCATGTAAAAGAAAGTATGATTTTCCTTTTTAATAATTCAAATATATTTATAAACAAATAAAAAAACCAAGGTAAAATGTCTTTTAAAAGTTTATAAGTACTTATTTGTTTCAAAGCACCCAATTCCAACAACGTTTTGGATTGGACGAAACTTTTCTTTTCGATTTTATTGGAAAATGGGAGTATGTTTTCAAAAAGGCTTGTGCAAATCTGATAATATATAAATTTAGTTGTAACTCTTTATCACAACTTAAACGAAAAAATATATTAGCCTAATCTCTAAATGCGTTCCGCGTCTGACCATGGACTTGGTGCACCCAAATCCCATTGAATATACTATTATGTCATCGAAGGACTCGGTGCACCAAACACGCAATTTATTAGTACTTATTAGTCTACGGACTTACGCCTAATTGATTTTCGTTTATAGGGTTCCTGTTGGGATTGCGTGTGCAACTCCAATCATATTTGTATTCGGGAAATATAGGAATATACAGATAGGTTTTGAGTATTGAAGAGGGAATAAATAATTTGTAGTCATATGCTCCAAAAAATTAACTATGTTCGTTGTTTTCTTTAAAAAAATTAGCTAAAAATAATAAATATTATAACATCGTTTAACCGAGTGAATTCCGTATTTTGAGCTCGAAAAAATAGTGGTTTAAACATTTCGGCATCTTAGATTGCTGAGTGTTTCTTCTTGCCTACTGCTAGCCTAAGATTTCAATGCGCAAATGGTCCATGCGAGACTTCCGATGCTGAGTCTTACGCCGCCGGTTCTTCAACTTCATTGTCGATGCGGGAAGATCGGATTCCGGATTTTCCAGTCCAGGGATATATGTCAGGGCAAGGTTGACACGTTTTCATGTACCGGACGCCAGACTTGTGCCACAGATTACAAACCTTTGGGTTGTTGCAGCGCTTGGGCCGATCCTAATTGGTAGTCGGATTAAATTTTGTTTCTGAACCGCAACTGTTCCTCTGCGTCTTCTTACCGAATAATCGCACTGGAACGGCTGGAATGAGTTAATGCGAGACGTTGGGGTTGGATCTCGCACCCATTGGAGCGCTTGCCAGTTGGTTATGATCCACACATCCTGCATGGCGTTAATGGCGTCGAGGAACTTAATGAAGCCCTCCTTGTGGTGGGGCTGCGTAAACCAGGCAGCGTGATAGAACAGGCCGAAAGGTGCTCTATGAATAATATTGATCGATACAATTAATTTTACAAAGAAACAAGAAAGGCAAGCCAAAGCTTATGAACAAAACGCTACAGTTTTAAAGTAAATTAAAGGTTTTAGCAGACAAATTTATTAAAATATGTCCACGAAAACCCTTTATTCTCCTTAAGCCCGTTGAGTTGGGAACTGAGTGTACCTGTTCGTGGTGTAATGGCGTTCAAAGTTCTTCATAATCATCTTTGTCACACCATCCGCATCGCTGGGGTTCGAGCAGGCGTCACCCATTGAGCAGCGACCTCCGTTCAAGTCTTGCCACATGACCATGGGGACTTGCCACACCCCCGGGTAGGAGCGGGTCGGGCAGGGCGGAATCATGCAGTCGTGGAATATCTTGTAGTCCAGAGTATATGGCCAGGAGGGCGGTCGGTTCTCGTAGACGGGCATTGAGGAGTCGTAGGTAAAGTTTGAGTCGTATAGCATTTTGTACATTTTGTTTCCGCCCACCGAGAGGAAAGGAGCGCGCATCCCTCGCACATCCGACAACTTGACACCGCCGTAGGCAGCAAGGATCTCCCTCTGGCCGGCAATTTCCCGTGTCCACTTTTTCTGCGAGAACTGCTCGCCAAAGCTATGACTGTTGATAAATGTGTTTGTGGTTATTGCAAACAGATGGGGTTAAATCTTCGTTAGTTCAGCGGTGTGGTTTTATTAGGTTTGAAGATGGGGTGTTGGTGCAGTGAAATTGATATCACTAACTACATAACTACTGTGATTAAGTGCTGTCTCTATTTGTTTTGTTGCTGTGTGTTGAGTCGGGGTCCAGAATCGAGCTACATCTACTTACGAAACTGTATGCGAGGCCATTTCATGTCCATCGGCGTAGAGATTCTGCACCTGGCTGTAGTCAGTCCATTCGTGAGAGACGTAAAAAGTGGCTGTGATGGGACAGCCGTTGGGATTGACGCGTCCCTTCTCGAAAAGGTCTGTGTATAACTGCTTGTTCAAGTCATTTACGGAATCATCAAAGGTCAACAGAACGATCTGAGGGATGCTTTCAACTTGTAGGTCGCCTAGCAATGCAGATGGAATGTGGTGAAAAAATGTACAGAAAAATCCGAGCAGAAAAAACAGAGTAGAAGCTAGCAAGGAACCGATGCAGAACTATGATCGAAAGCGCTTTGCGAGGATGTGACCTTTGCTGAAGAAAGTGCTGTCCAACGCAACTTACGAAACAGTGTGGGAGGCCATCTCATGCCCTTGTGAATACAGATCCTGTACCATGCCGTAATCCGTCCACTCATGCGACAGATAAAAGGTTCCGCGCCAGGGACAACCGTTTGGATTTTTCCGCGACTTATTATTAAAGAGATCATCGTAAAGATCAATGTTTATGGTGTTGACGGCATCGTCAAACGTCATCAGTACAATTTGCGGGGTCTCCGAGGCGCTCAAGCCTCCTACACATTTGTTGGCAATCAATTTAATATTTAATTTCAAGCGCCATTGGCCATCGCCAATTCCTGCATCTGGGCTTTGATCTATTCAACCAGGCTACTACTTACCAGGTATTTCCTTGCCTCCGCAATAACAGTCTGGCAATAGGCAGACATCCTTCCGGCACTTGGCCGCCGTTTTATCAGGCGTGGGCTGTGGGTAAATGGGATCAGGGCGAGACGGAGGGTATCGGTATATATCCACAAACTCTTGTGCCTTCGATACAATGGTGCCCGATGGCTTCAGTGTGGGGCGTGTTCGTCTTAGAAAATTTAATTTACTTTAGCTGGGGCTTTGAATATCAACATTTATGCTTACGGTGGGTGAGTTCCGCGGTTCGGCGTAGAGAGTACATCTCGATCCTGATTGGCGTAAATGGCACTGCCTCGGTTTCTATTACTGTTTCTAAATACAATTTGTTTGATACATTGGTTTAGGAAATTATAGGATAACACTAGGTCGGGTCAGTAAAGAGTCGCTATTTTTAAATCGTTGAAAACAAATAGCAATAGATACGAATGAATGCAAGATTAGTTGTTCTATACACATTTGGTGATATTTGTGAGTAGCCATTACAAATTATTCCCGTTCACCAATCGAAATCCATGTGTACCATCACCGACAGAATATACAAATTTGTATCCTCCAATTTTTTGAAGATATTTAAAGTGAGAACCAAAAAGTTGTAAAGCATACTTATGTGTCACGTGTTGGGGTTTGAAGGTAATTATAGGCTGAGGAAAGACAACAATTTTTTAATTTTTGTGTAAAGACTGCAGGAACTCTAAGAAGACAGAAGATAAACAATGTAAAGTACACACAGTCTTATTAATTCTGTTGAATAGGAGAAGCTTTGAGACTTAGCGCTTCGAACCTATGTTGGAAGATGTTTCCCCTGACCATCTTTAGATAAAGGCATAAATGATTACTAGCTGCGAGCGACACACAAGCACCTACTAAATTTATGTTCGGTAAAATGTGCGAATAATTGTTTTTTAACTTGATTTCGATAGTTCAATTACTTAAAAGTACAAAAAATGTATTTACTGGCGGACACAAAGAAAATGTCTTTTAACTATTTTTGACTGCTTTTCTTTCATCAGTGCTTTAAATGTTTTAAGTGTGATTAAACACAGGACAATTCCAAGATTACAATATTATATTGTTGTACCCCTGCAGAGGGGTCAAATGTTTGATGGCATGGAGGAGATATTTCCTACCCCATAAAGTATATATAGACGAGTTGATGTAGCAATGTCCCTCCAAGCGTCTGGGCCTCTGCCCGTTTAAATGAAAACTAGTACCTCAGATTTAAGGTTATCTGAATGGAACTTTTACAAATTCTTAGAAACAATCGGGAAAATAATTAAAATGTACGCATAGACTCCGAGATATAGTAATTATATATCTTAAATATTTATGTATAGTTGTTTTATTAAGTAATACATTTTTTTAAAGCTGCAAGGGCAGTTTCCTTTCTTGTTTTAATTCTCTCATGGCACTTAAACTTCTTAGTTCTCACATAGTTGCGTTCGGATTTCTTTTTAGCCAATTGATGTGTACAGTTTAAAAATAATAAAGAAATTTTTAAGGGGTTTACTTTTACGGGCCACCACCGATATGAATACAAGGATTCCCGTGATTCGCTAACGGAATTACCAAAACTAAACCTTTACTTTTCTACTTTTTTGCAACATTTTACCCAAGGGCTAAAATTTAGTAAGTGCCTTTGTATCATTGTACAATGTCAGCAAAGAAATCAGTAATATTTAACATTACTAATACTATGATAGTATAAATAAATGTAGGTAAAATCGAATACTATTCAATAGGCGTTCGTTGTTTAGCAAAGAATACTGTGGGCACACTAGGAAGCCAACAATCAACACCAACCAAGTGGGAGTGTCTATAAATACGTAGATTAGGTGGATGTGGGTGGTAATGAGAGACTAAAGAAAGCTTGAGAACAGTACAGTACAATACAATACAGTACAGTATTGAGTGGGAGGCTATGGTTGGTTGGTTGTGTTCAAAAACAAAATTACGGTGATTCTAATAGAGAAATAATAAAGAGAGCGATAAGGAGAGTAGAGTAATGGCTGGGATCGACTGAACTTAGAAGCAATCGGTACGGGTATCTATACCTTGAAGGGATCTCGTTGCACTTGGCGTTCAGTGTGCTATCAGAGCACTTCACCGAGGCTGAGGCTGCGGCGCCATTGTGGTTGCTGGTGCTTGTTTGGTGTTGGTGGTTCTTATTGTTGGGGGCAAAGCCGAATGGGAGCTTTTGGACTTTGCCCGCTGACACTGGTGGCTGATAGGTTGAGGGGCTAGAGCCGTGCGCAGCGGCGGCAATCGACGACTTTATGACATTGTTAACCCTCGACCGCGCGCAGTGGGCGGTGTGAACGGGGAGGGTGTGGCTGTAGCGATGGTGGGGGCGGGGGCGGGTGCGGGGGTCGGAGAGACTTTTGGGCTTCTAGCAGTACTAACATCGGGGGAACTGGGGGTGGTTCTTGCAGTTGGAGGGGGTTCGGTGCTCCATGCGCTAAAAGTTGAGGCTATGGAGTACGGTTTGGCGTGGTAAGCTACTTGTCGCTCTGAAGCGTTAACAGATGCTGCAGTGGGTCGGGTTGTGATGAGTGGGGCCATCGGCGTGGTGGTAGGACGAGGCGTGGTTGTGCTCGTTTTTACAGTGGTCGTAGCCGTTGGATCCTTGGGCAAGTAAAGATGCTTGACCTCATTGACCGCCGCCTTTATTTCGGGCAATGAATATTCGTCCACGAATTGGGATGTGCCGCTCTCATCGCTGTTGCTGGTACTGTCGCTGCCGGCCAGGAACTGCCTGAGCTGTTCGAGGACGTTGGCGGACCTGAATTTCTGTGCCCGCCCGTTGGCAGATGTGATGTATCCAGCGTTCTGAAGACTTTCCGCCAGAGTTCGTTCTGCCGTTTGTTGCCGATATTTGTTAGAGTAAAGGAACTTGACAGTTGGACGGTCTGTTATCGCCACTACATGTTCGGTGGAGCTGAAGGCTATCGCGGTACTGAGCTCCTCTATGCTGTTCTGCAGCTTGCTTGGTAATGGCTGGCTAACTAAGGCCTCGGCCCGCGGCTCGTCTAGAATGCTGGCTTCGTTATCGATTGGTTTGCGCTTAAGGGACTTGCTTAAAACACTTTGGGCGCCATCAGCGGAATCCTTGGCCTGTAATGCAGCCTTGTAGGCTTCATACTTTTCCTGTGGCTTTACTGTTGGCTCGCCAAACGAAATCCGCTGATTGTTGAACACCCGAACGCGTTGGGGCTTGCGTTTCGGATACGGACTGGAATCATACCCAGCGGGCAGCCTAAATTTAGGCGCATAAGTCGTGGGCTCGTCCACGCTGTCTCCTAGACTGTTTAAAGTGGCCGCCGTGTAGCGAGAACGGCCACGGGGGCGCATGGGGGACTGCGATAGGCGGATGGGCGAAGAGACGATCACGGCAGAAGTGGTCGTTGGAGCAGCAGTTATAGTGGATGTCACTTCCGGCGGCGGTGGCTCTGTGCTAGTAGTGGTTGTGGTTGTAGTGGTGGTTCGCAGCATGCTCGGCGCAGGTCGCTGAGGACTGAATGTGCTGAGGATAGCGTCACTTACGCTGAAGTTACGAGCGTTGCCTGTCGCCATCGTGGCCAAAACATCTTGACTGGTGTTTCTTGCAGATGTGGTTATGAACAGATTCTTTGGCGGCTTTGAAGTAGTCTGGAGGAAGGGCGGAAAGACAGGTGCATTTGTTAGGCGCGGTCTAGCGGTTGTTCGCAGTTGGTGGTGCTGGTGCTGGCGATCCTCCTGGAGCAAGTTCTCCAGACTTTTGTACGGCGAGACAAAGCGCGCCGCCGGGTTGGCGGTCACGCGATTTAGACTGTCTTTGAAGTAATTGGCGCGGGCCGTATAACCCACTCCCGGTACAATATACCGTTCCGTGCTGGGCGGAGCCAAAGCCTTTTGTGTTGTTGTGGTCCTGAGAGTGCTGCTAGACCCAACATTATCGTTGGATGTGGTAGAAGCTGATGTGCTCGAACTGGTACTGGTAGTTGTGGTGGCGCTGGCGGTTGTTGGCCTATAATAGGTCTGTTGAATTGTGGGTCTTCCATTGCGCCAAATACGGAGAGGTGGCGCGTATGTTGTGGGTATAATATCCGCAAGATCCTCAGACAATTCAGTAGTTGTGCTTGTGCTTGTACTTGTGCTTAAGGGGAGACTCTTCTTTTCCGAAAAAATTGGCTCAGACGCGTTACCTTCGCTTTGGTTCTGCTCAACACGCAAACTAAAACCGTGCGATCCACTCTGCAGACTATATTGAATTGGCTTATTGGGTCGCGTTGTACTAGCTGTATCTATTTCTTCCGGCGGAGATATCACTCCACCGTTTGCCGGAATTCTAAAACTATGTGGCTCCACATCGGAAGTGATGTAGGTCTGAATACGTTTGCGTTGTGGCTCTGGTTCTTTTGAGTTTGACTCCAATGAATACCCTCTTTCGCGATACGGTATATCACTGTTTACTGAATTCAGCAAATTGCCACGCGGACTGGTGCCATAAGCGGCAGCATTGATGAAGTCCAGAAACTTAGACGAGGTGTTGGTTTCGAAGGAGCGACTCTTTGGTGGCTCGGCCGTCTGAACATGAATGTTTTGACTCTCGTCAAAGACGGTCTCAACGGGGTCCTGTTGATTACTGCCTGAGCTGTCCTTCACCAGAGGCCATTGCGTGGTCGAGGGAGGGGGAATTGGAGAAGAGGTTTGGGCGGGAACTTGGTTCGGGATTTGTTCCGGAATTGTGGACTGGCGATGGGGGTTTGTAAGGTTCTGAACGTGACGGTAGTCTGTGTTGTTTGGTCGGGACAGGCTGTGTGATACAAAGCTAGCCAGCGACTGGGCAAGACTTTGCAGTTTGGACTTGAGAAAAGGATTGGAACTATAGGTCGAGGGATTCGTGGGAGGTGTGGTGGTGTTTGGAGTACTGTAAGCTTTTGTACTAGTTGTCTTTGATTTGTTGGGAACATGTTGTTTATTTGCATGCGCTTTCGAGCTGTTGAAGAGACGTGTATTTGATTAAGTTATCACATAAGTGTTAGTAACTTATTGCTATGTGTACAGAGGACCCTATTTACCTAGCCTTTTGGTTCTCAGATTTCGAAATAATTTTTAGTTTGTGGTTATCTTTTTTTGAGTGGTCTCCCAAAAAAAGACAGCTGAAAGTTACGAATAGATACATGCTCATGCGTATTTATATTCCGCGACACCTAACGGTTATCTTATGAGTAGGTCATGCGATGGAACGATTACTTAATCACATTACAAGGAAAGGCAGAAAGTGGCTCTTATGTTCAAACAGTCAGCTGAGTTTCAGATCGTTGGCATGATGCAACACCACATCGCGAGTTCCTAACCCAAAATGACTTCTCTTATGCTGCAGATATCAGATAGCATGATTACAAAACTGTCTAACTATACTTGGCGAGTGTAGCTGTGTGTTCTGTATAATGTGTGCCAAATTTTCAAGATCGATGCAGAAATGAGAGCTTACAATGTATAAATAAAGAATATAAATAATAATAAAGCCATGTAATAACTGAGTTGCAATTAGCGAGCGGCTGGCAGAGAGACTTTAGTTCAAACGATGTTTCAGGGAGCTTCTGCAATGACTAGTGAAAATACCTTGCTAGTTTTGTTGTTGGTGGTGAAAATGGTGTTGTTGTGGTCTTTGTGACCTTAACAGTTTGTGTGGTGGTGGTGTAACTCTTGGTTGGTCTTCTGCTGGGTGGCGGAGTCGATATTGTGTTCTGAGATCGTTTCAGAGGCGCGATTGTGGTCTTGCCGGTAGGAGCCACAACATTGGCTATAAGGTCGTAGTCATCCGTATCGGCTTGGGTCTTGGACTTAGCTCCAGTCAGTATGCGCTGGTTCTGATCATAGTCCTCTACCGACCCGTAAGCGTACTCGGCGGAACTGGAGTAGCTGTAGTCCGCAGGCCCGAGCTTCGGAGGATCTGGTGTGGTAAGCGTGTCGTAGTAAGTGCGAGCATCGGGAGGCAAGACAGACGTCGTCGTGGAGGGGGCGCTCGAAGGAGTGGGCCGGGATTCCAGCCTTTGTATGGCTACCTGTTCCAGTCTGATAGATAAATGTATTGGGTGTATACGTATTGGTTGGCAGTAGTGTCTAAATTTTGATGCGGTGTGTGACTGTTTGTGATTGTGTAGTTGTATGTTTGGGGTTAGGGCTCTAACTAGTTTTGGGGAAACGAGGTCTAGGGGAAACTCTTCAGTGCAGGTGCGCTAAAATGCTCTGCGACGCTGACTGTTTCTGTGTGGGTGAGATCTTTCGAGTTTTTCTATGAGATGCTCCCATTTTGATAAATGATGCTGTGTTAAGGCATGTGGTCAATATTACTTACCTCTGTGGCGAACGTGTCGACTGATCGTACACATTTTCCTGCTCGATCTACAAAGACAATTAAATAAATTAATTGTAAATACCTTGGAAGTAAACATTTTTAAGGTCTGTCAAACTGTTAATATATCAATACCGGGTTCCCCCTTACCTGTGCATTAATGTCCTCATCGTAGTCTGATGAGTAGGTCAAAGTCGGCTGGTTGCCGTAAGACGTCTTCTGAGGCGGCGTCGGGGTAGCCGAAAGTTCTAGAGGGCGGTAGGTTGAGAGTGGCTGCTGTTGGCGCACTGTTGGTTGATACTGGGGGGCAACTGGCTGCTGCTGCTCCTGTTGCTGCTGATACTCTATATCCCTATATAAATCGATATCGTCGTCGTAAACAGAATAAAAGGATGAATCATAGGGATGTGGTGGGGCTTGTGCCCGCTGCTGATGTTGTTGTTGTTGCGGTTGCGCTTGTTGGAATGGTGTTGGTTGTAGCTGTGGTTGTTGCTGCTGCTGTTGTTGCTGCGGTGGTTGGTAGCCGCCCCCCCCATGATTAAATATGGATGCATTGTAGAAGTTACGATTCTGGTCTAACTGTGGCAGTGGAGCTTGTGACGTGGGTTGTACAAATATATTAGCGGGTTCCGGCGCCCCTAGCGATGACGGTGAGGATGACTCAGCTCTGTACACGTTGTTGTTTTGGTTGTTAAAGATGGTTTGGGTGTGGTAGTGTTGTTGTGTATGTGGCGGAGATTATTTACATTGGCAAAAATTCACAGCAATTAAATGGGTTGATTATGAAGAAACAATGGTGATTTGTTCGTAAACAGGAGAGAAAAATGTAAAACGAGATCAAAAACAATTCAATTAATTAAACAAAATAATGGATACCAAAGATGGAAAGATAGCACAGATATGGAAGGGGTAGCATAGAAAATTAGCTAGGGTTAGCGTTAAGGTTAGAGTTATAGTTAGAGTTAAAGTAGCCAAGTCCATTTGTTTAGTCAACTGTACAGCTTTGGTAAGTTCGATCAGTGGGTACGCTTAGCAACGGGTCTAAACGTAGGCATATAAACAGTATTGCCGCCAAGTGGGCGGTCTGGCGTGGAATATGTACATAGAACGCTTGTTTTCTTGTATTCATTGATATCTTGTGTATCTGTGTAGCGGCACAATGTAATTCAACTATCAGGGAGTTGCCTCGGATCGTATAGCTACCTGTGTCTGTCTGCACCTGAACCGACATGTATAGAGTTCAGTTGCAAGCCGCCCAGGTTGCTCTGCTTGCTGGAGTCTAAAACAACGGGGCCATTGTCGGTGAGGTTTCTTGTGTTTGGTTGTCCCTGAACCGACGACATCGTCATCCATTTTTGTTGTCCCCGCGTACGCGGTCTCGTTGTATATCGCACTCGAGTTGTTGGCTGCACAGTGCTGGAGGAGATTGTGCTTGGATTGTAAGTCGGACGCAAGATGCTTGGGGTCGTGGGTACTCGTGTACTGTTACTGGTATGGGACGTGTTAGACTCCGAGAGCTGCGGCAGCCGCTGCTTCAGTTCTTGAAAGATGTCGCTGGGAAAGCTGAGGAACGATGGCACGCCAGCCTCTGCACTTGGTTGGTTCAGCTGCGAGAAGTTGGGGAACGGACGGCGGGTTGTCGTAGCTTCCAGAAAGCCCGTCTGGAAGTTTGGACGCCCTCTTGTCGGAGACTCAGAGACGGGGATGGCTGCGCCCATTTGTGGGCGCGGAGGTGCCATGGTCTCGGACATGGGCATGTAAGGAGGCATTTGCGACGGAGGCAGTATGTCCTTATCCTCCTCCTCTTCGTAGTCCTCGTCATAATAGTCGATGCTTTCGACCGTCGTGGTGGTCGGCACTCGCAGAGTGCTGGTTGATGTGCTGGAGACAGGACTTTGGCTTGAAGCCTGATTGTTGATTTGGTTCTGTATGCCCTTGACGAAGTTCTCGTAGCCCTTGAGAGCTCTTGTTGTGGACGGAGTAACAGGCGTGGGCACTGTCGGTTTGGCTCTCAGGCGAGTTTTGGGCGTCGGTGGACTTGACGTGGTCGGAATCTGAGTTGTAGTGATTGAGCTGCTAGTTGAACTGGTACTGGTTGTTACAGGACGGCGGAGAACCGTGTTGCGCAGGTGGCCATTTACATTCCCATTCCCGATACTGCTGACCTGCTTGAAATACTTCATCAACGGATTTACGGACGGGTTAACACTGGCCAGATCACTGGCCTTAAGATTGGCCATAAACTCGTGGATATTGAATTGAAAGTTGGTCGGCTTAGACTTCGGCGTAGTCGTGGTCACGTCGCGCAGCGGCGGCTCTGTTGTGCTGATTGATTTGGTAAAGGTCTGGTAGGATTCTGGCATAGTGTTGTTGCTGGCGTAGCTAATTCCCACAGGCAAGTGCGAAAAGTCCCGAAACGGGACCTGCTGTAAACTATTGGGCCTATTGTATGCCAAATTCGGGGCCGACACCACGTTTATGCTCTGAGTCACCTGCAGCGGCGTAACTGGAGGCCTTACTTTGGTAGCCGCGTGCCCAATCTGGTTCGGAGTGGCAGTGCTAAAGATTCCCTTCATCTTCTGGTTGGCAACAATGTTGTACTGAAAGTAGTTGCTCTCCGTCGTGCTGCGCTGTCCCTCGGCAGAGCCAATGCTGTATTGGGAGACCACCTTACCGGGATAGTTTGCGGTGTAGGGTGCATGGTCCGGCTTCTGGTTGTTGTAGAACCCACCCATGGTGCTGTACTGGCCGTTTGGAGTCACCTGGTGTGCGGGCTTGGAAGGGTCTACGGGGGAGTAGTAGGCAAAGGGAGTATGCGGGGTGGTGCCGGCTGTGGGCACGAATGTGGTTCCTGATGCGGGGGCCGGGCTCTCCGGCTGATTGTCCAGATGGAAGTAGGCGAAGTTTTCCGCTTGCAGATGCTTGCGCCGCTCCTTCAGCTCCTTCAGCTGCTGTATCAGGTAGGGGAGCAGGTCGCCCGCACTGGAGTGCTGCTGTTGGTTATTGGGGGGTCGCTGATTGCTCAGACCTGTGCCTGCCGCCCCATAGTAGCTCCCTGCAATAGGGCGAAAGTCGTCCTCCAACGGCGGCGGAGGCAACGACAGATTATAGCCGGTGTAGACCACTTTGGGCTTTTGCTGGGGGAGGGACCCAGCGGGAGCTAACTGCTGCTGCTGCTGCTGGTGCTGATAGACTTGGTAGCCGGGACTAAGCTGATTATAGTTGTGGCTACCGTGAGGGTGGGCATGTGCAGGATTGGGCGGGGTAAGGTATGGATTGTAACTTCCAAAGCTATAGCCTGTTTGCTGGGAGTACTGTGGGGGAGAGGGCGCGTCGATGGCGCGGTAGTTTGGTCCCGGCCACTTAGATAAAGCTTGTTGGATGGGTCGCAGTTGGCGGGACCGCCTCTTTGACTCCCCCATGGCTACATCACCCTCGTCTCCATATCCGTCTACTGGTTCGCCGTCTTCGTCGGCAGCCTGTTCGTACGCAAACTCCATGGCGGTCTCCCCTTTTGGCTGACTGATCTTCGAGGAGTACTTCCGGGGCTTAGAGATGGCCTGAGCTGCTTCGTCAGAGCGTTCTTTTGAGTTGTTGGAGCTGTTTGAGGTCTCACTACTAACCGAAAGTGTGCCGAAGCTATCTGGCTCCGCCACTTCACTCGAAGTGATCGAGTCAGTGGGATTCTCGGGTTCTGAAGGCTCTTTGGGAGGATTTTCCGAGACCTGCGCGCTAAGGTCGCGGCGTTTGCGCCGCCTATCTTCATCGAGTCTGTTGTGGGACAGTTCGTATTCGAGCGTCTGGTCGTCGTCCAAGCTTTCGCTGTTTGTGTACAGTGATTTCCCAAAAGCGGTATGGTTGTCCGGATTATGAGGTCGGCGTGTCGTCGTGTCGGTGTCGGTTGGAGCAAGATAAAGAGATGGTGCAGTATGCGATGTATGAGAGAAAAGAGCATGTAATACGATGAATTGCACAGAATTTTGACTTGATTTAGCATCAGTAAAGTAGTTTAAAAAATTGGAAAGCGACGATAGATGTGAAATGAGCTACTTGCAGCAGGGATGACGGCTTACCTGTAGGCCGTTCCAAAGGCGTACGATCCGATCTTGCCAGCTTGGGGAATGGCATTGATACTGGCCTGGTGGATGATACCGTCGCGATCGCGCTGCACCTGGCTAACGGTACTGGGCTGGCCCCGATACACTCTCTGCTGACGATCGGACTCCTCTTCTTCTACCGGCGGCAACGTCTCCTGAGCTTCGGCGTACAGCTAAACAAATAAGGTACATATGTGTGTTGTTTTTGTAAGAGCGTTATATGACTTTGTTGTTTATTCTTCAAATAATAATAATACAATTTAAAGTCCTTAGAAAATCAAGAAGTCTGTTGTTTTTTTTGAAAAAAAAAATTTACTTTAATTAGTTTTGAATCTATACTAAATCGGCAGTGTATAAATTCTTTTGTGTGTTTTCAATAACATAATATTATAACATAATATTATAAATTACAGTATTGCGCTTCATAACTTATCTTCAATATTAATGAATTGTTATTAGCCTATGCAATATACATTCCCAAGTCAAGACGCAAGACTGTCCCAAACTCACCTTTGCAATTTCCTCCTGGGAGTCAATCAGTGGTTTGGGTTGTCCCCGCGACGTAATCACTGGGTTAGGTGGCACTCGCAGCGCCGGTGGCGGAGGAGGTACGTGCTGCACCTGCGCCTGGATCACCTGCGGCGGAGAGCGGTGGTACTGTGGCGCCACCGTTGGCGCCTTTTGCGTGCCGCCCTGGCTGCCAAAAGCGGCCCCAAAGCGCACTCGGCTGGGCACGTGCTGCTGCTGCTGCGCCTGGGTGTGCGTCTGGCTCTGGCTCTCGATCTGGGAACGTGCGGGGTCGCGCTCCGAGGATGTGTCCACCAACTCGCAGCCCACGTTGCGGGGCCAGTCGCAGGTCTGCAGCTCGTGCGAGTACATCAGGCCGCCCGTGCAGCTCTCGAGCAGAGCTCCTCCGAAGACGCACACGTAGTACTGGGTGCAGTCCGAGGGGTGCGGGTAGTAGCCGAACTCCTCGGGGCAGTCGAAGCTAAGGCCATTGGAGCTGGTGGGCTTGACGTTGGTGCCAAAGCTGCGGGAGCTGGTTACACGTGAGGCTCGTTTGCCTTGTGCCTCTGTGAGTTCTGCAAAAAAAAAGGCCATATAGAGATATATTTGTATATTTCGTACTTTCTGAAGCTAAAGTTGCCAGAATCCCAGATTATCGAACCAAATAGGTGTTTCCAAGGGAAAGGGGACAATGGTAGCAGCTGTCGCAGCTTTAGCTGCGCTCAGAAAGCCACTACTGGGCACAGGTTGTGAATAGACCAGTCACGGTTTTATTGCACTTTTGATAGATTTTTCTAGTCATGCAAATAAGTATGTATTTCTTTGCAGATATAACACATTGCAGAGTTTTTTTTGGACATTGTTCGTTGGCTTGACCTTCTCAAAAGCAACCAAATACCACATGCCATAAAAATCCAAGCTGTATGTATAATAACAGAAGCTAATATTAGGAGTTATACGCAGAGAATTCTGGACGTTTTATAGTTTAGACTAGGATATAAGAGCTAAGTTTAAGTCACAAAATAATGGCCAAAACATTCAAGTTTTATTGTCAAGCTCGACTTAAATTGGTACAGGGTATGCATGCACAAAGCTGTTATCGCAGCAAGCGGTTAAGTCCGTTTTTATCACCATGGCCCAGTTTTAATACAGTCTGAACGGTTTATTCAAAGTTTATTCCCCTCAAATTATCCCATATGAACGTTTGCCGTTCAATGGCGTTATTTGTCGCGTTTTGGCACTCAACGCCAGAATGTTAATTGGGGAACGCCGCCTGCCCATGAGCAGAAGAAATAACGGCGCATGTGGTTGCATAATATTTGGAAAATATTGCCATTATGGCAATCTACATCGCCAGCATCCGAACCCAAAAACTTTAGACCAAAACTGTGGTTACGCTGAATCAGACATCAAATGGTGACAATTCGTTGGAAAAAAGTTTTAATTATAAAAACGTGCCGTTTTGCTTCAGAAAGGTAACTGCACCCAAATAAGCGCTGACCTCAAAGCCCGGTGCTCAAGACGGAATTAGTGTGGCTCCTTCGTCGGGGAAGTTGGCAGCTAACCGAAACCCCCATTTGGAGTGAACAAAGCCCAACTAAAAAATACAACTGATTACGTCGAACAATTGGCTCAATTTAAATTCAGTTGAAATCAGTTCTTAGCAATCAAATTCATTGCAGCTTAAACGCAGCACAAACAAAGTCAAGTAAGGCTGCTTGAAAACAACTGGCCGACCGATTGCAATTATTTTATTGACGCCTTGATATTTTATTACTTGGCCAGCTTTAGAAGCAAATTACTTTAAACCTTTAAAATATTGCATAATAAGCCAGCCTAAGAAACTTATTTTTATACCCTTGCAGAGGGTAATATAATTTTGGTCAAAAGTGTGCAACGCAGTGAAGGAGACATCTCCGACCCTACAAAGTATATATATTCTTGATCAGGATCACCTCCTGAGTTGATATAAGCATGTCCGTCTGTCCGTCTGTCTGCTTCTGCGCGAACTAGTCTCTCAGTTTTAAAGATATCGAATTGAAACTTTGCACACACCCTTCTTTCTCTTGCACGCAGTATATAAGGCGGAACGGCCGATATCGGCCGACAATATCCTATAGCTGCCATATAACTGATTGATCGGAAATGCCATAACTTTGGTGTTTTTAAAGTTAGGAAGTTGGGATTTTTAAGAATGCATCATATGAATAATTTTGGAGAATATAATTTACAGAATATTCTGCAAGGGTATTTAAACTTCGGCTCCGTCCGAAGTTAGCTTTCCTTTCTTGTTTAGTTTCCATTTAAATCCATTTTTCTTCGAATTTCAAAATTTTTTTATCTTTGTCACGGCGCTGCATTAATTTGTGTATTTAATGACGATATTTTACGTTAAACCTTGCTGAAATTTTTATAACTAATTTTAGGTTAATCATATATCAACAAAAATTGCATTTCCCTACCTTTCAATCTAGTGAGTTTTATAAAGTAACCCTAATTAACAGAAAAAAGCCAGTACCACAAACAATGTATTTTTACATTCGCTTTTTTGTTTAATTTTGTTTAATCGATCGATTATTTGCTAGTCATATAGTCCGATAAGACCTATTCCCAAGGCCCATTATAATTGGGCGTAGATGATTTGCACACTAAGCTGGAACTTTGCCAAATAATGGAGAGAGGATTCTGATTCGAGATCCGAAGAAAATTCAGTGCAGATAAGTTGTCGCATGTCGGAGGGCAAGTAACTTTCACGTGGTGTGTTTGTCCGTAATTGTGTCAAGGCTCTGTGAGGGGATCTAGTTTGCATGCAACAGAGACGGCACTTCACAAATTATGCAATTAGAGCGCAAAGACGTCGCACTCCGTTTCCCCGTCTCCGTAGGTAGAGCCCCATGGCGAATATTTGCTAGAGTGTGCTACATTGACCGAGTCTGAGTGACTGATATACGGCGGTGGCGCGCAATGAAAGTCAATCACGTGCCAATGGCAATTGACCATGCAAGGGCCTAGACCTGCCATCATCATGGAAGACATTTGTATTAGGCCGCCCACACTTGGCAGGCCGTCGTGGATTGTTTGTGCTGGCCTGGTCGTTGCTTGTTATTGCGTTTGTTCGACTTTCTGCTCCAATAAACACTACGAATATGTACGCTCCGACATTACAAGTGAGCTAAAGTTAATGCTGATACCGGGGCTAGAGCCGAAGTGGTCGGTAAGTCTGAGGCTTGACTTGACTTGACTGCTCTGTTGTTATGCAACGCGCAGTAATACGACCATAAACCTGATTGGTTTTGTTTGGCGTTTGTCATTTGCATTGCCTCCACTTGTTGGTCCATGAGTAAATCGAATTACACGCTTTGTCTTAAAGCAAAGAATACACTTGGGCATGGATATCAATGCCCCGAGCCAGAGCAGAAGCATCGTTTGTCTTGGCCGATGACACTTTGCCACTAACATCAAGCTATATAATAAGAAGCGAATCGAACGCTTTACAATTCAGATCCATCGGGCAGCATGGCCTTTTCGTGTGGTGTGCTCAAAGTGCACTCAACCAACAACTTCTCAGCCATAAAGCGCGGTTTGATGAGCAACTTGACTTTCATGTCAGTCGGAAGCGGCAATAAAACATGGCACTCACGGCACTTTGGCAAAACTGCCGGTTCGGTAAACTTCGTAGATAAATAAGTATCGGATTGGACAACTTGCTGAAGATCAGCGTGAGGCATTTTATTACCAATATATTTGGATGCCGCTGCTTGAAAGATGCCTAACATTTAAAAGCAATAAAAGTGTCGTCTCTCTGAGCGTTGAATATTTATAGGCAACCCTGTGCGGTGTAAGGGGATGCTAGGTCTAAGTTAAAGATTTCATACCCATACGATATCAAGGCGTTAATTTATGTAAAGCACCATTTGTTTAATATCTCTTTGAGCCATTGATGAGTGATAATCCCAGGCCCAGGCTGCATCTGCGATGTGTCACCGTTTTTTGACCCAAAAGCCGTTAAGTCGTAAGTTGGATTGTCGAGGCGGCATTTCAACACTGCCTTCGACTTATTTAAAGCCATAAAATTGGCAACCGCCAAAAGCATGGCCAAATTTAGACAAATGGCGCGAAGCATTGCACTAATTGCCACCTCGTTTGGCAGCGTCGGATGCAGTCTCGAGATCTGATTTATGTCGACCGTAATGGTTGTTAGGGCAAACATAATAGGGCCTTCAAATTTATCGGTTTAGTCAAGTTACGTAAGTTTTTTTAAAATATCTACGCATTAAGAAATTACACCGCTTAAAAAATCAATCTAAATTAATTAATTTATTTCTAAAGCAAAATTGTGTAAAAACGTTATGGTTCTTGTTGTTTTATGTGATTCCTAGAGAGTACCTTTCTCTTTTTAAGTTCAAACTTATTAAATTAATTTAAACCAGCATGAAAGTTGTCTAGTTCGTAAACTGTCATTTACCCAGTAGTAAAGTTTCTGCCTACCTGACTGCTTCAATTGATAGCTTAATTTCTTTTTCGCGTGGCTCGCGTTTGAACTTTTAATTAAACTTGGCTGGCCAACAGAGAGCACCCGGCAAGTTTGTTGCCTAAGTCTTTCGATACGCAGGGTGCGGTCCGCAATTCAACGCGCACGCTCAGCGCACCCGCAAGACGGAAATACAAATCATTGGTTGCTGGCTGACTGGTGGGCTTTCGTTTGTTTTCATTTTCAATCGACTGCCCAAATCAATGGATGGAGGCGTAGCGCCAGACCTCGAACACCCCATTGGCTTGTTGCATTCCGACATTTCCCCTCTTACGGAATTTAGCCCAGCTGACCACAAGTACTGACATTCGCTTTGCATGCACACACAGCAGCGAGGAATCAGTTTCGATTACAGTCAAGCTTTTCCTTTCTAAAGGAATAGTCTCCACTGTCAGCTACACTTCCTGCTAGCAGGCTTTGCGAACGACTAACGAGTTCACTCTTCCCGTAGTTTTTCCCTGGTCTCTACATGGGCTAAAACCGGCTTTCCTGGATCCCTGACTATGTATTTAATAAACACTGAAGTGTTTTAAAAAGAACTTTCAATCTTAGCTTATGTGCCGTAGAATGGCCAGATTAAATCAATGGTAGCTTTATTTGCAAAAGCTCTAAAAATTTATTTAAAAATTCTCATCTGGGATCAAGGCCTTCTGCTGCCTACAATCCGACAAAGAAAGTTAAGAGTGTGTTTCACAATTTAATGGCTTAATAGATAGTAACCTTCAGAATCATGGATTGTTCTTCAGGCAGACGGGAAATTTTGTATGCCATCGAAATTAACCAATTTCGATTTCAGCGTTCAGTGCATGACAGATTTAGGGGACTTGTAGTCAGAGATAGCAAGTCAGAGATAGCAAGAAGTAAAAATGAAATAATCGCCATGAGCAGCAGTCGGCGGTACCTATTTTCGAGAGTACCACAAAACAGGAAATATGCAGCACTTACTCTTGCCTCATGCCTCTTGCCCGGTTGCTTTCCTTTTCGTGGCTGTGGGCCACATTCAAATAAGTGGAGCTCTGGCCTGAAGAGCTTTTCGGCTGTTAT